CTTTTCTTCACTTTTCTGAAGAAGTAAGTACAAGAATTTGTCTGACTCACCACCATTATAAAAAAAGTAAATGCCGATAAAGCCCCAGAACTCGCAGTATCCTTTTCCCGGTCTCAATTTCTTCCACTTTTTCTCCCATTTACGACCACTGTGACTCTTCTTCCCATCATCCAATTCAAGATCAGGAAAGGAGTCGAGTTGTTGTATTAGATTGATCCATGTCTCCTCCGGCCATGGTAATATGTTCTTTATTCGTCCCCCTCGCTTTTCCCCATCCGTCCTAATACACAGTCTCTGCTGCTGATGCCATCCATCCATCCATCCATCCATCCATCAACCTCTTGTCTCCTTAAGTCTGGCGTGGCGTTACGACAGGGTCACCACCAGCACCACCTCCATGCACTAAATCAGCATCGCTTCCACTAACAATAATAACAACTTTCTCTCTCTCTCTTGGAAAGTTTCATTTAATGAAGACTGTTCACCGGGAGAGAAAATACAGGAGCAGAGACTCAAGAGGAGATGATGATGATGATTCCATTGCCCTCTTCGTCACGAAATCCGATCTCCTTCTACATATTTGAGATGAAAACTGGCCCGACTCTTGTTCTTCTTTGGTGTTTTCGAGGAAGAGGAGAGACGGACCTCGCAGAAAGTGAGAGTGAGACCGTGATGAAGCTCTCCTCTTGGAGAGAAGCTTAAAACAGCATGAAATCTTATGCCTTGATTCTCTCCGAGTGAAATATGATGCAGCTGCATGAGTTCAAGTACGTGAGACGTCGACCTTGTCTCTCCTCCAGTGTCGCTGGCTTGTATATTTGAACCCTTGCCTAGTTTAAATTGCTTTTCATCGCAAATTCCCGTCCCAAAAGCCCCTTTTTCGTCGTCCTTGTCGTCGTCGTCGTCGTCCACCTTCAAAATTCATCTCAAGGTAAGACGGGAAAAATAGAGGGACGAACGAAACAAAATTTACCCTTCGATTCAGTCTTTTTTTAGAATGAACGAATATATAAATCCACTTTTCAAAGGGGAACTTTATATAAGAATTTCTAAAATTCTAGATGAAAGAGAGGCTCGGATAGAGAAACCATTTATAGGAATGCGGCAGGAACTTCTTTCCCATTTATGCAAACCTAATTGGGTTGTAACCTTGTTAACTTGACATCATCGTCGTTATCGTCGTCTTCTTCGTATACACTCTTCTGCCTCCATTACACACTCAGAGAGATGGAAAGACCAACAAAGAGACTCCGTCGATACACAAGTTAAGCTAACAAATTATAACAAATTTTTTGGAGACCATGTACCAAAAAGTTGTGGGGGAGATGGGGACGGACGACGACGACGGATGGGGAAAAGAGGAGAGGAAAAAGAACGACAATTTAATTTATCCAGTTAGTAACTCTCTCATGTCGCTCGCTATGAAGTTCTTCTTGGTCCATGCGTTCAAAGTAGGATTCAACTTTACTGGTTGAGTTGGCTGGTCCAAGTCAACCATTAAGTTCCGTCTTCTTCTCTCATGGTTATCAAACTAAAGGTGATCATGCATTATGCATTTTTCCTCCTAAAGAACTATACTCGTACGTACGTAGTTCTGGACACACATACACACGTTTCGCCAGTTCATATACATGGGCCCCATTTTTCATCCGGATTCAATCTCAACCCCTTTAAGGCGACGCTCACATGAAAAAGTTAGCGCATACCTACGACTCCTCACTCGGTCGTCCTTAGGGAAACATGAACAGCTCAGAGGTAAAGTGTCTCAAGGTCCAAATGACCAGTTTTACTACTACGACTGCTAAGTGAGTGACACATCTCGACCGTGTATTGCATGGCTATATAAAGAGATACAAGTCTCTCTCTCTCCTCATATTATTAAGTACTTGGCATATGTATTATCATTACTGAGCCAATGACTTCACACTGCACTCCCACCGAGTCATAAATGCAAAATTTAATGATATACTCGTTACTACTGCATAATACCAAGTGGAGTTAAGAGCAGTACAACAATGACGACGAGTGAAGTGACAATAACTTGCTTGCTAAATCGCCATTCACTTTTATCATTATTGTATTGTTGGCTTATTACTGATCTGGTCTGGTTGCGTGGTGGTGGTGGTGGTGAATGTGAATGTGAATGCATTTTGACCATGAAGTCGGTTCACTCTAATTATTGGCACACTGTCAACTATGTTCGTACGTATTCGCCTTAAATAAGTTGTATGATTGTCAGTCGATGCACAAAGAAAGGTTGCAAACTTGTTATTACGATTTTAGTTGGGGCGAGATTATTAAAAGTGCAAGTAGAAAAAAGTGCAACATGTCCAGAATCTCAAGATTACGTACGTATGTAGGAAAAAGAGACGCTTTTGTTTTTTTTTATTTTACATCTCATCCACTTTTAAATGGAGCCATTATCACATCCCTGTGATATTTTGAGAAACATGATTTTTTACGAGGTCTCATAAAAATTGAGCAATGGAAATAAAACACTTTTCATTCACGAGAGGTTGTGGACAATGTTTCAATTTGGCACTTTTAACTAAACTACTTGAAATTTCTGTCGGTGGTCGTAGGAACCATTACGTTTGTGTGTGCTGTAAAATTAAATGTGTTTCATCCGGATCAACGACAGCACAATTCTACACAACGGGACAGTTATTATTTACGTTGCATTGAATTACATTTCCTTCCGGGTGTGTTGTGCTGTCGTGTGAGCGATGAATAGAGGACAATTAAAGACTAATGATAATTATTGTAGGTAGATAATCTTGATCTCTTCCTTGGGTCGAGGAGGGTATGCTATATGCATCGTGGTGCTGTATAATAATAATAATACGTAGCACGGACCACATGTGTCCGACACAACAATGAATCTCTCTGCAGAAAATCTAAATCTATTCATTACATTCATTGAGTTGGATTATGATGATGATGACGGTGATGATTAAATATTTGATCTGATCACGACGACGACGACGGCCAGGCCAACGACGCCATAATGTTGATACCCGATTTGGGAACAAGTTGACCATTCATCTATTTCAGGGAGTCGATAAAAACCGGATGAACAGGGCAGGACGATGACGACGTAATCACAACAGACAGAAAGAGATGAATCAGAACGTTATCATTGCATTATGTGATTTTCTGTCAGACTTTTTCACCTTGACTTTTTCCCAATCTTCCAATAACGCAGTAATGACGTGATTCGATGGGGTCCAATATCTGGATCAATAATACTGATGACTATATAACCAACCAACCAAAAAGTCGACTCCCATTTGTAAAAAAAACTGGCTCCCGTTGGTTTTTTGGTAGTTTTTTATGTCTTCGTCGCCGTCCTACATTCTATTTTGTGAACATTACTGGCAGAGTTCGCCTTCGGATTTAATCTTGGTTTTACCTGCCTGTTTAATTTATGAACGATATTAGCTGGCTGCCTGAGCAAGATGCCCTTTTAAAATTATAGCTTATATAAGTAATTCTGGATAAGAGGAAGAAACCAAGGCAAGGAAAATGTCCTTAATTAAATTTCCTTTCCCCTTTTTACACTTTTTTCAAGAAATGATCCCTCCTCATTTTGATATCTATTCCATAATCTCTTTGTCCAATTTTGCGCATATTTGAGAGGTTTTAAGCAATTTAATTACGTGAGGCATCGAGTCGAAATTTAAGAGACGCCCTTGATTGGCTGGAATGTACGAATTTGAGCCTGGGCTCAACCACTTTTACATACACAATATGCGTACATATGTACGTGCATGTATATGTAAATGTATGTACACAAGTGCACAGATACGAGTCTACCTGAACTCCCACTCCCGCATTCCATCCAATTAGGCTCCCCTCCGAAAAATCCGAGGAAGAAGAAGAAACAACAATAAAAAAAGATAAAAGGCCCGCAAGCTATAGTCAAGCCAATACGGTTTTGTTTAACTAACGACCAACTTTTTTCCCTCTTCATCCTCCTTTCTACCAAACCACACAAAAAATCCACATGGATGAAAAATCTGTTATAATTATTCCACCAAATTGAAGCATATTTTAGTTATGCTTCCATCTAATCATTAAAAAATAATAAGCTGCTCCTCAGCTCCTGCTACAATTTTGCTAAACTCTGTAACGAAATTCTTGTTGTTTTTTTTAAGTAAAGTTCACGAACAAGATCTTTTCTTTTCTTTCCCTGCCAGAGATAATTCCTTCTCGACTCTTTCATCTGTAGGTGGAAGAACAATGATTTGGTTGGTTGGTTAGAATTCGACTCTATTTAGTAGAAGACTGGAACAAATGGATGTGAAGGTAAAGTAGTCTCAGGCAACGTATAAAAAAAGTCTTATGCACGTCGTCGTGAAGTGAAGTGAATTCGTTTTACAGATCACTTTAAAAGAGTTAAATAAGCAAAAGCACAGCAAAGTGAGCTCAAGAATGACAAGGTCTTCCTCAAACAAAATACATAAAATAAAATGTGGCAACGACACCACGCCCAAGAAACTGCTTTGATCTTCTGCATATATTCGTTTTTTATGCAGCCCTATCATATTTCTACTTGGCTATTGCATACTTTACTTCTAAATAAGGTGGGTTTGGGCTAGCAAAAATAATGAGAGTGACTGGAGCCGGATTTTTTACACAAATTATAGAGAATGGATGGTTGATGATGATTCTCCATAACGTAATAAAGTTGATTGGTCAGGTCACCAAATTATGGACAGCTTAATAAATAAAGAAGTATATATATTGGGCATGCAAATTGAATAACCTTGCTCTGGTACAGGATTTTGTACCAGTTAAATAATTACATGTATGTCGCGGACAGTTCAGTACATTTGCCCCCTTGTCCAGCCGGTTATTGATTAATTCTTCCTCGTGTCATCATAATGAACCAATTATTATACAAAACTGTCCATTTTTAGCACCTCAGCTGCACCCAAAATTCATTTCCTCGTGGATACTACAGCCTAGAAGTTATTAATCATTTCCATTTTTATTACCTTGTCCCAAAGAGGGGCAGATGAGACAGGTTAAGAACACGACTCCGATCCCGAGTAGATCCCGTCTCATTGTGATCATTTCGCCTCTCCGTCCAGATTTCCAACGGCACCGAGACTTCATTTTATGTAAAAAGTAGTCACCCTACTACAAGAATCACTTGTTGCACACACAAATTCTTTAAAAATTACTAAGTACTCGAGTCACTGTATAAATCACGCTGTCATTTTTATCCGTCGTCTCAAAAAGAATCTCAGTTTCACCGTCCCATTTTTTTCTTCCTAATTCCTACCCCACTTTGCTAAAATTTCGATATCAATAATTCGGACTGTGAATAATGCCTTGCCTTGAATGTGGTAACAATGCAACGTTGTTTTTCTTAATGATATCAGCGTTGTTGGTGGTGGTGGTGTTGCAACTCTCTCTTTCCCAAGTACAACAGCAGAACGACGACCAAGTCTTCAAGTTGTAATTGCACATGGTACATCGACGCACATATTAACGACGCTGCAGATATACGAGCACTGCTCACTTTTACTCCTTCCTAACTCACAACAACAATACTCCTAATACGACAAGTTGCTACGTTGTTGGGGGATTCAGCAAGCAAAAATGGGAATCGTAGATGTTCGTCCTCTGAGAAGTTGGAGCACACTGAAGTGCAAGACTTGGGAGCACATTCCTCCACCTCTCAAACCACTACTTGCTCCTTATGCCAGTCCTTTTTACATGGCTCTTCGCACAGACGCTATGAATTTGCTCCAAGCAGAATGAATATTGTAATCTTGCCTAAGCGAGGGGACTTTTACTTTTTCCTCTCTTGGAACAAATGCAAGGTATCGTTTGTGTAGGATAGTGACGTGCTGATGATGATGATGATGGAATGGAAGGAATTATTATGAAGCCCAAGAAGTTAGTAGCTCCAACGAAAATCCTGCATGTAAAACTGCATCCTGCTACTTGTTGAATGTAATGTAAGGAGAAGAATGAGATGCAGAGGATGCAAATGCAAATGGGAGTGATGTTGATGTTGAGAGAATTCAGAACAAGGCGAGGAATACGGAGGATGGATGAATGATGATGATAATGGCTAGTTCCTGGTTTGGTTGCTGGGCTTAGTTTTAGGTCCGGGCGACGGATGATGCGGATCGTCGTGTGTGAATCTTGTAGGAGAGAAAGAGGAATAATAATGCAATCCAGTGAGCTAAAGGAGGTTGGCTTGCTTGAAAGGAATGGAAATTTAGGGATTTTCATGTTATGCAAATTTTTGGGTGTTTCTCTCTCTCTCTCCATCATCATCATTGCTCCAAGTCTTCTTCTTATCGAGCTGGGAGGAATATGTAATCGGCAACGTGTGCGGGGAGATAAAGGAAGCGATGTTGCGGTGATGCGATGTGGTGGTTTAAGGAGATCGTGTTCTTAAAATCATGAAATTATCTATTCGCCTGCTTTGTAGATTATTTGCAGAAATTATATAATGTGTGATAAAGGGAGGAGGAAGGAATTGTCAGTGGTGGTGATCTTGGAGATGCCATTCATTCCTTATCAGATACAGGGGTGGTGGTGGTGCTTACCTTAAAATACTTTTTTTTCTCTATTGTTTTGTTAGGATCTCACTTTACATTGGACAAACTAAAGAGTTACATTTGCACTACCTGACAAATCAAGAAACCATTTCCACTCACTAAAATTCAATTCTACAGACAGACAGAGTGTACTGTACACCACCACCACCAACGCCACGACCAGTATAGACAGACCACAACAAAGAGGAGTAACTAACTAACCAAATATAACATGCGTCCTGATACCTGATACTTGAAGCATGTCATTATAATGATAGTAAATAGCATATTACACCCCGTACATTTCCGTCCGTATATATTTTTCAGGTTTCCGAATCGATTTTGGTGGGGGACATTATACAACAAAAACCAGTCAAGTGGCGTCGTCCACAAGGTCACATTTCATCCGGTTATATTCGTCTCATCAACAAGTGGTGCGTACATCTCTGGAGTAAAACGGTGATCAATATCCGTGTTGCAATTAATTGACAATTAATGTCAATTTACTTTACAGTCGAGAGAGCATCTAACTCAAACGGATATCTGGAAGCGGAGAGAGAGAGAGAATTTAATACTTTGTCTCTCTCTGGAGACACGGGGCCAACTTTTACTGGTTTTCACTGCTCGGAAACTCCAAACTCATCAACCAACCAATCTGTTCCTGTGGCCAGGAAAATAAATGAACCCGCAGCAGAAACAACAACACAAGTTTTGCAAATAATCCTCTAGCACCGCAGAAGACAGACAGGAGTTGGTAATCTCTTTGATTTTCTACCAGTCCATGAAGCTTAGAATGAATAATTATTGCTCAGTTTGTGTTCTCCTCTTGTACTATTACTAATTAATTAATTACCCTTTCCTCCATTATTCCAGCAAAATTAAGTAAAACGCGTATCTCTGCGGAGAAGAAGGGGAATTTTCTCTCCGAAATCTCCTTTCCTTGTATTATTTTTGTTTGCTCTGGTTTGTTGTTCCATCCACACAAAAACTTTGGACTTTGTTCCGTGCATTATGTGTATTTACTTGTTCTTCCTTTGTGTTTTTCGTCTTTAGGGCATCAATCAGTTCGGGGTTTATCCAATCAATAATTATGCGGAGAAGAGGAACGATATGTCTTCATTAATGGGAATGTCATATTCCATCGCAGAATCGACTTGTTCTTATTGTCATATTATTACATTAGTTTCAGCCTCGTTTTACTTGGCACCTAAATCAATCGCAGGTATCATTCTTACAGACATGCTCAGTCACAGTGGAAGCCATGGGGACATCTGGGGACACTAACATTATAGGATGGGGGAAGGGATGGGTTTATACATAACATGGGTAGATGATGGGGACATCAAACAACCATGGGGACATTGTCCCTCTGTCCCCACATTTCCTTCCACGGCCACTGCTCCATCATCCTAAGAGTGGAAATTTATAAACAAATTAAAAATAATTATGTCCGCAGTGATATTTCTTTACACCCCAGAAAGGAAGGAAGTAATTAACCCCCCGTGATTTATCTAGGCAGACTTTGCTATCGTTATAGTTAGGTGACGACGACAATGCGACTGAATTCACACACCTTTTATTCTTGCTCCTACCTTACCTACCATGCAGTACACCTATTCTATTGTAACTATTAACCTACATGTAAAACAGTACCTGCTCAAATTCACGACAACGCCACCAACCAATCGAGCATTACTTCTCATTCCCATTCATTCATTCAATTTAATAATGTTCTGATTAAAAGGAAATCTTTTTTTTAATTCAGAGTCAACCATGAGAGATAAAAGTGTATGGTGAACAATGGGATGAATAAATACGATGGGGGGATGTAATAAACCATGTTAATTACATGGACTGCATTCTAGTATTATTATACGGAATCATGCACAAAATAATTTCGTGCTCGTTGAAACATTGAATTTCTGCGCTAATTTGATTTCAAACCGAGATTAATTATCGCATTTCTTTGTCGTCGTCACTCACATTGCTGAAACCAAACCCAATTTCCAGAGATGAACTTGTGATTGCCAATATTTGTCCTTGTAAATGTTGCTTAAAGATTTTGTCCCAAAGCCATCGTCCGAGTCGAATTGATGTATTTGGTAACCTTCACATTAGAAGATAGATACAGATATGTGTATCATGCAGCCTTTTAATTTTATCAAGTCCACCAGATAAGCTGCCTCGCTCACTGTTACCATTAAATTTATTTGGCAAACTTTTCTTGTTGCACAAGAATTAACTACTGCACCCATTTAATAAAATGGTGTGGTGTGCGGCAACAATATTTGTGTGTGTAGGACCGCATATGTATGTACTTTTAAGCATAATATGGACATTGACCAAGAAGAAGTACAATTATTTATTATTGTAAAAAGATTTATGTCCTACACACACATCAAACTGTTTACTTTACGTATTTATTTATACCCAAAAAAAGTTATGTATGTACAGACAGAGTTCAATATGGGCAAAGTTAAAAAAAAACTTTATCCCCTGTGACTCTACTCTACCCCTTAAAAAACGTTAAGATTGAACTTTTGATTTTAACTATGAGACTGAAATTGGATTTGGGAACGGCAGCAGCGCATTTTGTGAGTGCTATTTATTGCCTAACTTTTTAAATGAGATGGATTTAATATAATGTCGCATACAGTGATTGGATCGGAATGCGAGTCGTGAAGAATGTGAACTTATTATTAGTGCATCAAACCATCCATCCATCCATCTTATTTCGTAGTGATAGCAGTAAATCAGTCAGTATGGGATGGATGGTATGGATGCGAAATTGGTTTTCTGCTGCTGCTGCTGCCGTACTTTTGCATTTGCTGAGAATGCCGAGCTTGGCTGCCTTTTAGACTTTCTCACTCTTAATATAATAACGAAATAATAATGAAACCGCGAGTGGTATGATGCTGTGGGGCTCATGTATCTGCACCAGCGTTGAATGTGCGTGGCGTCGTCGTCTGCATATTCTCTCATAAATTTAGGTCACCCACAACTCTCCGCCGCCACTACTGCCCAAGTTAACTCGTAGTTTGAAATAAAGTGAAGTTCACACAATATCCCAACGAGTCTAAGTTTAGAGGTAGGGATGCATATTTTCGTGCAGCGTGGGTAGTTTCTGATTTGTGTTTCGTGATTCTGTTGATATTTATGGTTACAATGGGTCGTAATAAGTGCACCTTTTAAGAAAGGTATGCAGTCCTCCTAGTACCAACGATCGAGATGTATGTGCATATATAAGTAGTACCCATTGACTAGTAAAAGTGCTGGTGGTGGTGGATCAATGGGAATATTTTGATGAAAAATGAGAGTGAGTATAAATAAATTGCATCTCAATGTGTGTAATAAGGTTGACATGGAATGGTTGATTGATTGATTTATTTATTTGCAATTGGTGTAAGAATACATAGCAAAGAATAGGCGTGCAATTTGCGATAAATAAATAAAGCGCAAGAATTGGTTGAAGACCTCTGTCTGCATCTCTGCCAATGAATTTACTTCGTGGGGGCAGAGTTCAGCCGGAAATTGAAACAATATACTCAAATGGAGTGACGTGTGTTAAATTGTACCGTGAAATTGGTTTATGAAATTTTTCATGAGTGCTAGTTGTCATATTTTTTAGGAGGGATTTTTTGTGTTATTATCCTTTAGATACGTATGTATGTACATATGTATGATATAACGCATAATAACACTAATTTATACTTATACAACTGATAATGAATAAGTATGATGCATACAATTTCTCTAATAGAAATTGTCAACGGTTGAATTCGCACACAACTTTGAGAAAAACGTAGCATTCTATTTCATTATTTGAAATTTATCAGAATTGAGGTTAATTGCATAGTAGAAAATTCAAGAATCTCAGAAAATCAGAATTTCGGTTGTAAATACATTATTATTACACGTTTCTAAAATATTTATTTCGAGTTAGCATATTTGTTTAACAACATAATTTACCTTATTACAGGTTTTTCATGGTCAAAAACAACGCCTCAATCAATTTATGAAATGAAATTTGTGTAATCATCGTCTCAGACGAAGTATGTAAAAAAAATTTTGAAGCCCACTTCATACTTATTACTCCTTCACGAATTGGGCAAAGTTGATGCTTTTTTTGACAGCTTAATTGTATATACATAATATTACTTTGGTATTAAATATATGTAACGAGATATCCAAGGCAGTTAAGCTACGCAATTTTTAATCTTAATGGAGGAAATTAAATTAAGTGACTCGTTATGTGTACATTTTTACACAATTTTATTAAACTTGACTTAAATTTTATTAAAATTTAGTAATAAAAATATATATATAAAAACCTTCCCATCATGATCCGAATAATAAATTTTAGTAACAGTATCCGAAACGAAGGATATCAAAATTATGCATTGAAATGTATTTTAAAGGCAGGATGAAACTTAATATATTTTGTATATGCATCTTTTTTATGAGTATACTAATGACTAATGCACATACGTATGGTGTGATATGAATATAAATAAATACATAAGTACGTGCATATATAAACTGTCGATTGGAAAGAACCGAACCACAACCCTTTGACCTCAGGATGACCCCAGTGGTGTCACCCTATTTCAGAATTTTCTCTTACTTTAAAAATCCAATGCATACATTCGAAAAGGTAACAAACAAAAATTTTATCGTGCTGATGGACAGACAAATCCATCGGAATTAGGGCAATACTACAGGTTAAATTTTGAAAGTTTAAACTGATCTCAACCCAAGTTGAAAGGATATCATAATTGAGTCCCATGGATCTCGTACCTGCTAAAAAGTAAAGCTGCTAAACAATAAAGCAAATTATAAATATTTGTAAACGTTGCATTTTCAACTCCATGCATGGACAATACTCTTTGGGATGTTCATCTTGGTGGTGGTATGCTTATTTTCTTCCAGTAATATGCCAGGAGTGGATAAGAAGATATGTTCAGGCGAGATTTACTCTTCATGAATATCTAACCTTTTTCGAAATAATCTTTAGAATTAATTCATAATTCGACACATACAAAATAGTTAAATAGTAATTAGTACGGTGTACTTTTTATTTTACTTCTTTGTAAAAAACGTAAAAAACATGAGTTTACTCTTACAATTTATTATTGCATGAATTGGAGATCAGTAAACAATAAGTAAATAGTTTGCTCATCCTACAAAAATTTTCGGAGTTCACACTCGTCAAATTTCGCGAGAAGATGAACCTGATTCGGCTGGTCCTGGCCGTGAACCTCGATCATTCTGATCATGAAGCGTAAATCAGACTGAATTGAACTAAAGTTAGTACATTTCCCCATGAGTTCATAGCAGAGCTGAATATTGAAATAAATTTCAGCTTTATCTTCCGTTTCTACTGGAGCGTTGTCTTGAAGTTGGGAGAGAATCTTGGTCGTAATTTGAACCCACGACCGCATGGTGGGTTCCATCCATGTTGCTTCGATCATGGCATGGACAACCTGTAATGCACGAATTAGGAAACTTTACAGTTTTTGTGTATTTCCTTACAAGAATTAATTCTCTAACTTTAAACAATTTCAAATTAACCTTTAAAATTAGCACCCATTCTTGTTTTTGTCCTGGTGCCACGAAGTTAAGCATGATTTGGTTAATCCTGTCAAGCCAACGCAAATTGGCAAGGCCCATTATTTGGATGAATTTTTCCAAATGAATTAACCACTCTTTACGAGCAGGACAACCGGAGGTGTCCATCTGCATAGTGAATAGAACTCGTTGAAGAGTTTCGTCATATTTGGTCTCCTACACAATAAGAATTAGTCTTATCATCAATCCTGTTAAATTATTCTCCCAATTGGATTACTGGAAACTTACCTTATGACGGTAAACATTTGGATCTTTCTCCGTGAGTGACAACGTCTTAAAAAGTCCTTGTCCCAAATTTGCCACAACTTCGCCGTCGGTTGAATTAAGAAGTTTCATCTGGGCTTTATAAACTATTGGGGCCCAAATTCTCCGAAACTTGGTTGTCTTCCCCTAAAAAGAAAGAAGTGCCAATTATTAGATAATTATAAAACGGAAGTCAATTAAGTAACGAACTCGATAACTTACCGCAATCTCCATACATTTCATCAGCCCTTTCAAACCAATCGTCACCACGGTAGGGTCAGGATCCTCAACTTGACACAAAGAGTTGTAAAGATCCTGGTTAATGTTGTTCACGCCCTCCGCGTCCATTTTTGTAACGTTGAGATGACCTACCAATTAAGAAGAATAGTTACAAATTAGCGAAATAGTTAACTACCACGCGAGAAGAACTACTACATGTGCTCGGTGTGAAGAGAGCGGGCTGTCTGGTTCGACTGGGAAGAGGGACGAGGAGGATTGGCTCGTGGTTTTATCTCTCATCCTTCACCATCTCACTCTCCACTCGCGAATCTTTTTTGCACATTCCACTTTTCGCATGCGAGATGGAGGTCGTGCTGCTGCAGTTTCCTTCGTGTGTCAGACCAATCTCAGTCTCAATTTCTAACCATGCCCCATCCATATCTAAAGACTAATAAGGAAGAAGTAGGTACCAGTTGAGATAAGTCTCACCAGTGGCCGTGGAAGCGTGGGGACAATGTCCCCATCATCTGCCCATGTTATGTAAACCCCTCCCTTCCCTATCCTCCAATGTTAATGTCCCCACGGCCTCCGCGGCCACTTAATCTCACCATTTATTTTCTGTAAACAAGTCATAAAATAAAGTCATAACCTCAATCAATCAGAATAAATAACTTGTTCATGTAACTTGATCAGTGTAATTGATCCATATTTAAATTTAAATGTACACTAATTGATCAACAAAACACCTAATTTAATCCAGACTAAAAAAACTTTTGAAGATTTGATGTCAAGTCAAGTTCACCCGTCCATCCATCCATCCATCCATCCATTCATACTTGCACCCTTTTAAACCTCGACTTTACTCTCTAAACTAACTAACTCACCAAGTTGGCACAATTACAACAACGAAATCTCTTTTGAACGTTTCATTACTACATTTATTTCTTCTTGTTCTTCTCAGCGTCATTAGAATATATATTCGTTTCGTGCACATCCCACGTATTTACTTCAACTGACTGACTGCAGTTGTTTATTTGTTGCTTGTTGTGTGTGTGGCGTAAGGAATAGTATTCTCATTCTCATCCCACCTCGATACCATATAAATACATGCACCAACCATCACATAACATACAGCTAACTAAATAACTTTGCAAAGTTTTTAGTCGCATGTAAAGTTAGTTAGTTAGTTGGTTGGTTAAAAGTAAGCACATGTTGCTCTCATGTCTCAGTCCGTGCAACGCTGTCGGCGCAGGCAGAAGTGAGGCCATTGCTGTTCTCGTCAGAAAAGGGTTAATTTTTACAAAAACTTTTTACTCCAACACGGTCTGAATTGAATTGAACTAGTTGTACAAGAAGATGTGGAAAAAATAAATTTTCAACTTTTTGGGTGAGAATTGCTAGCGAAAAGTTGGCGTGTAACGCGGAGATCCTGTGACCAATTCGAATCCAACCACCCAGGGTTTCCTAGTTGTTAATAAATTTACGAGTGAAACTGGTGATATTTTTATTATTGAGAGGTATACACGAGTGGACACTTGTATTCAAAGTAATCTCAGATTATTCACTGATAACAAGATATCAGAGAGATTATCATGTGAAAGACAATGCCTCAGCCGGATGTGGGGTTCTTGCATGCATCCGGATAATGCCTCGGTGGGTATCGATAAATGAGAATCAAGTCAGCGAGATCAGTCCAAGAGTGGACGTGTGGAGGAGACAGTTTTCTTAAATTATTGAAAAAAGTAAAGAAATAATAAGAAGATTTCTGCGAATTGTACATCGAGCAGAAGTTATTGTACTTTGTAATTAATTAGTTAAGCTGGAATAACTCGTATGGAGGCAAAGAGGACAATCAAATAGCGAAAAAAGTGCGACGGACTGAATTCGTGATGGCAGTTCTGAAGTCATGTTTCTGCTACAGTTTGCGCCAGGGGTCCTTCATCATTGGAAGCTATGCACTGGTGAGAGTGAAATAAATACATTTTTGCATTTTTTAGATTAATTATGTATCATCCCGTGCAAAATTTAGTAATGGAAATGTAACGATAGATGCGTATTTAGGTTCTATAGTTGAATCGATTTTTTATTTTATAACCATTTTCAGACACAATCTGTGTAGAAAGAAAGAGTCGATGTAGAATCCTAAACGAGTCTGATAATGTCGTCCTTAGTACAATAATAGTGACAGAAGGTCGTCGAATTGAACGGTTATAGAATCAGCGTGTGTATGTATTTATTTATGTATTGGGCTACGATCTAAATCTCGCTTCAGTGTCATCAGTCATTGTTGTCAGAGCATTGTTGATTCTTGTCACTCTTTCTTTTAACAATCGGGATTTTCCTCTCGTGACTTAACAGACATCTTTGCATTGGACTTTTCTTTTTACGACATTGAAAACTTTGATTGTTTTCATAAAATAGGGAAACGTTACACGTAGGGACAAGGGGCACGATTTGATACATTTACATATAAGTACGTCGTACTTTTGAAGGCAGTGAGTAACTAAGGCCTACATAAATACTCTTATCTAGGTTCAATTTTGACTCAATTTTATATTACAATAATCATTTAGGACGATTCAATAAACGGTTGTCTTATATTCTTCTTCATCCGACGAGTGCCTGATTATGTGAGTGACTCTAGGATTATTATTTTATCATCCCGGCAACAAATAACCGGAAACTGGCATTTTTCTTATACATATTATAACCCATTTCTTCTTCGGATTTGCATACATCACCCAGCCAGCACACATTTAAGCCGGAAATTGTTAGTTGAACCACCTTTATTCACTTAAATAAATTGGTTTGCTACGCGTTTCAAATTATTTCATGATTCTTATGTTCCGTATACTTGAGCGGGACATCATTGAAAACTATATAACTGTGAAGTCTTGTACTCTTTTGGGGATTCACCGGCTCTTCGTCGGTAAATAATTCGTCTTATTTCACTCGCTTACTTACTTTTTTGTTTGTATGTATGAATTCAAGCCAGGCGGATAAATGTCTGTTTTCCAACCACAATAATAAAAATAAGATAATGATTTACTTGTTCTTTTCCGCATCCCTTTTTCAATTCGGGCTTAATTCTGGGCAGTAAGTCTTTCTCTAAAAAAGGGATAATAGACGATAATACCCACTTTTATTGTCCTGCTGCCCACCACTACGTATGCCGGTCAGAGTACAAAAAAATACAAGTTGACTTGGCACATAATACTTTTTTAAGGATGAGCGACTTCAGCCATGGCAAAAATTTAGACAGGATTAAAAAATCACACGAAGGTTTCATAACAAAATGTGACTTGCCCAGCCAGATTGAGACTTTTTGCAAAGGTTGACTGCGAAAAATTTGCGTTACACACACACTTCACGCAAAACACGACAAATTCCTCAAAAAGTTAACCATTATTTGCATGTGTATGCCTCCATGGGGTGGTTTGCAGCGTGTGGGGGTATCTATAGTTAAAACCTTCTTGACAATCTGCTACTTATTTAGATATCTACTAACCAAACGAGCATTATTTCCTTTAAAACTTAATTTGGACAAACACTACGCCTATTCCCACGGCACGTATTTATTTCACCAAGTAGCGTGTATCTCGATATTATTACTACGTGGTGGTAGTGCCAGGACTCGTATCAATTCAAATCCCACTAACCATCATCCGTTCTGTTTTGTTTCGAATTCTTCTCGCAATCTGTGTGTGTGTGTAAAAGTACCGTAACTTTAATTTCCTATTTTATTTATTCACAGTTAATTCGCTGATGTTCACTTTTATTGTCTTATTACTTACTTTTGATTGTTGTGTGTGTGCATGTGTGGTTGAGCATGTCGTCGTCTTACTTTTTCATGTCCGGGCAGTTTCATTATTGCATTATTTTCGAAAGTCTGTATAGTTTGAAAAGAAACGTCATTGCGTCACCATCGTCAAATTGTGTGTCGGTGAATGGATAACCGTCGTAAAAAAAGCAGTCAGCAGACTGAGAATTTCCTTCAATTTGTAATACTGCTGACTTTGGCAGCTTCAAAGTCTCTAAATGCCAATAGAGAGTTTTGATTCGGTTCCCGTTGCATGATTGATGAGAGAAGTTGTCTTGTTAGACGGAGAAGAAGGTACATGTTACATGTTACAGTATCGCGATGTTGGAATTTTTGGGTTGGAGTGTTGCGTATGAAAACGGAAATACTTAAAAAACGTTAAAATTATAAGATAAACAAGTTGGTAATAACAACTGCACAATTCACTTTAAGGAGTCGTCTTTTGGACATTGAAATGTCTAAATATTGTAATCTAAATTGGCTGTTTCTTTGGGTAGATGAGTCTGTTTAACTCATTTCCTCATATACTCAATGTGTACGAAATAGTCGATATTTAACAAATTTGCGTTGTAATGTGTCAAATTTTGGAACGCTGCTCTCAAACTAATGACTCGACTTTTCATTTTCATTGGGAATAATAACAGTTTATTAAGCTTTTACAATTTTCCGTCTCCTGTATTTGACACAGTTTGACACATAATATAATAGATTTGAGTCTTTATTTAACATTAATTATAACTCGAATCGAATCCAAATTAATTGTTAATTCTACTCCTCATTAGTTTTGCTAGGATCGAGACACCGTTGTTGAGAGTTCAGCTTTGTTAATCGAGACACTGTCATTCTATTCCTGGGTGGGTGGATTTGCCTTAACTCGTACGTTCTGCTCTCTTGGATAAAGAGAAAAATCATAAAATTCAGTCCAAACTAGTTTCTTAGGTAGTGCAAAAATTGTCGTAGTAGAAAAAATGGATAAATAGCATCTAAATAATTCCGTCTTAACCGACGAATCAAGTGATAAGATGGTTTTTTAGTCCCATACGTAAAAAAATCACGCATTCTACAAAAAATTCCAAACATGAGGAACATATATTTAACGATGGCACCTATTTATGCATGTTTTGGGAAGATACATAAATTAGTAATCGTGCCATGGATTTCATTTTATGTGGTTTTATTACTTTACGATCACTTAAACTATGTGATCACCACATTGAGAGAATGAAATATTTTTTATGTAACATGTGTATTCGATACTAACAATAAGTGAATAATAACACATTTATAGAAAGCTAATAATAAGCCACTCATGGATAGGCGAGAAATAAGTGGATGATATAAATTTAATTTAATTATACTATAAAAATACATCACCTAAGTTTTTCAACCTTTTTGAGGTTTACGAATATAAAATTACAAAAGCAAAATCGTAATTTCAAGGATTTAGAGGGTTGAAGTGAAAGTGTGTATGTACTTCTTTCATCAATTAGAGATCACTTTACGAGACTAAATTCTTCACCAATAAATCCAAATTAACAAATATTTGGCAATATCAAATTTTGATCCAATATTCCATACATTTCATATTCCTTCTCATTTACCATATTATTATACCTCATATGTCACACTACATTAGACCCGTTTTTTTACCTCTTCTTAATGCTGCAAGATAACAATTTAAATTTTTTAAGCAACCCAACAATCAAAAAAAGTAAGCCACATACAATCGTGAAAAGCTTCATTTTCATTAAATTCGAGTTCCCTTTTGCTTTTACAACTAACTATAAGCAAAAAAACAGCAGATGCGATGCCATTACAATGCCGAGGAGTGAGTGGGTGGGCAGTTAAATTTGCAAATAATTCGCAATCCTATGCGAATTACGTACGACGCAATGAAGTTTTCAATATGCATTTTTTACCTTTTTCATCAATTGATTACTTACCTTTGCTGTATGTACACATACCAATTCTGTGACCAATTCCTCCGCATTTCCATATTCATTGTAATAATAGTTTAGTAAGTAACTTGTGCATATTTCATTCAAAAATGTAATTGACTTTTTTCCCTTATCTCTTTCTCTCTCTGTACGTCTGTGTTTGACACATGTGTAACTTTGTTAATAAAAATGAACACGAGGCATGAAAGGAAATTGGGAAATTGTAGGAAAGAGTAGCTCGACCATGGCGGGGTCCAAGCCACGCTTGCTTGCTAATGGAATTGGTGAGGGGATTGGCAATGTAATGTTGGCAAAAAGTGGAAACAGATGCTTGAACGAAATCTTTTTGTCAGACTTAATTAATTAGGCACGCTTCGTCATAATTATGGAAAACTAAATATAATTAAGCTTATCACATGGATGAGAAACAATCCAAGATTGCCATAAATCCACCATCATCATCTCCGGGACTGGATGTTAACGTTAGGTTTTTTTATGACGAAAAATATTGGTACAGTTATTCTCCCTGCTCTCTTGGTGGTACGATATGCACTTATTTTTAATATGTTACAGAAAACGGAAGTAAATGAGGCTTAGATCGTATCATATTTTTGTTGTTGTTATGTGTTGTGAATTAGTTTTCAACATTCCTCAATCTCACATTCCTTACGACGCAACATTATGAAAACACGATGTAATTATTAACACCTTGTTTCTCGAAACAGTGGGATCTACTAATATTGGTTTACATACGTACATACGCACAAACGTATATGTACATATTTACAATTTATTAAGAAGAAAAAAAACTTCCTATGAAACGAGTTTGTTTTTGAGCATGGGATCTGAAATCTGATGGGAGGATGTTAAACACCTCCTCCTCCGTCGTCTTTCCTGGCAGATAGAATTGCTATTAGCAGTGGCCGCGGGACAGAAAGACAATGTCCCCACGGGTATTTGATGTCCCCATCTCTCCCCATGTTATATACACCCCTCCCTCCCCTATCCTACAATGCTAATGTCCCCAGATGTCCCCACAGCTTCCGCAGCCACTGGCCATTAATGTTATTACCTCTGAACGTTACGTAACATATGAGCACATCAGCATCGCAATTTAGTCTGTATGCCGGACTAATTTTCGCTCAATCTTACATATCCCACCTTCAAACAAAAGTTTAATGATGATGATGACGAGAATGAAATCCCGTTTAATTATCCCGTCTTGTAAAGTAATGATTGTGGTCTGTATTTAATCATAAAGTTTTAAGCTGGCCGCAATTAAGACCTTGACAAGTAATTAATAAGTAGAAGGCAATTGGGACGGACGACGGACTTTTGATAAAAATGCGTGTGCCAAAGTATTCTATGAGAGCGACACAATTTATATTTGTAGGGCAAACTCTCGGAAGTTATGTCAGTAAATTTTTACGATTTCATTATGCCAGAAATGAGAACATTTTACAAAATTCTAGGCTAAATACTTTGATAATTTGCGCGTAAGATAATTTTATAGTTTATTGTTGTACACGACAGGATCTCGTAATAGTAAAAATGTAGAGAGGAACTGCACATTATGATTACGTGTACGTAAATCCAGTCTCATATTCCCATATCACGCCTATATCTCAACGTCCCCACTACTTAGATAATTTTTAACGATTTGTTCCAATTTGACCTCCCGTAAGTAGTTCTCCTGTCATCTGGCGAAAAGGAGGATGACGTTTAATAGGATTATCTTGATGATAGATAAGACAAATTACTACAGATTGGGCGGATTTTATTTTTCATCAATTCCTGCCAAACTACCGCTTAGTCAAATTATCGAATTTTTGTCGAGAGCCTCTCCTTAACGTGAGACTCCATGAGTCAAAGCCTACGTCATAACAATGACGTCATAACCCCAAAAATCAGCACATTTTTAATTATTTCTCAGCTACCAGAAGGAATTTGAAAATTCTGCCCATTGATATTATAGATAATATTATTGTTGTCCTTTCTAAGAAGAAATTCAATATTTTAGTGGTTTTTGAAAGCTGAGGTACAAAAAGTATGTAAAAAGCATAAGACCACCTGTTATATTAAATTTGTACCTCAGCAAAATTGGCTTGTAGAAATGGAAAAATTTCAGGAGGATCTCATTAATCAGCTTATTGTCTGTAACTTCACTGGGCAGAATTTCAAAATTCGATTTCTAAGTCTCGATAAATTAGTTTGAAATTTATGAAAATGGCTGTGAATTTAATGTATGTAAAAGTATGGGAGAACTGTGAAGATTTCTGCTGTGTGGAGTTCGTCCAACTTGAAGGACGTACTGGATCCTCGATTATATTACCCGAATGAGCCGAATTATTTTATTATTTAGCATCAGTTATTTTTACTTTGGCGTTCAAATTATTCAATTTCGTATGATTTCTACGCCAAAATAAAAATAACTAGTGCTAAATAATAAAATGATTCGGCTAATCGGCTAATGTAACTCAAAGTCCAAAGCGGGATGCAAATTTTGCCCAGTTTAATTTACTCTATGATTTTTTGAGACAACTACGTCTTCGAACGTAGCCTTAAAACAAAGTCAAAGTTAATCGTGTATATCGTTACCAAGCAGAGTGAACCACTGTGCAATTATTTAGCATTTTCCTTTCCTCCTCTGTTTCTAAGCTCTTGTGCATGTGCATGTTTCGACCTAATGGACCATACCATGTAACCTTCAACCTCTTTTGTTTTGCGCATATTTTTCCAAGGTTTCTCACAAAATTATGCTGTGTTCATCTTTTAAAAATTGCACACCAAGACTGGTTGGTTGATACCTCAGATGCTGCTTCATGTAGCAATTAGACGTGCATACACACCCAAAAATATATCTTGCACTTCTAATCTCCTCTTGCTCTCTATCTTTCGTACCCATTTTTGGGGTTGGTCGTGGTTCCATTATTATTATTATCATTATTGTGTCACACTTTGACACCACACACCTGTTGCAACAAGCCCAACCAGCTAATAAGTGTGTGTATAAGTAAGCACTTTACTTTCTTCAGTTGAAAGAAAACACCAAAAATGGAAGCAAACTGAACACACACAAAAAGCAAGGAGGCTTTACAATGCAAAATTTGCAACCTGTCGCAATTTTACAGGGTTCTGCACGTGTCTCACATTTTTTTACGTGGACAAATTTAGTAGTGGAGGAATGATTTATGTAAAAATCGTGCAAAATTTGCTACCAAAAATGTGAAATGTGAGATTTTTTTTATTTATTTCAGATCGTCTACTGCGTCGCATTTGCCGTTGAATTATGGTGGATTGTCGAGTCCATGTGTAAGTCGTGTTTATTGATAAGTCAGGATTATCAATATAAATAATACTTGTACTTATATTTCATTGAAATTATTTAGTGATCCTGCCAGCCCCCGCTTACACGTTGTGCTCCCTCTACTTCTTCAACTTTATCATGGCAGCCGTCCTCCTGTTCGGACTCTTAGTTGTGAGCATACACAATTCAATAAACTGATCAATGAAACAACGAATTTTTTAAACGTGCATCCATTCATCGCTAATTAGACCCCTAATTAATTAATTAGTTAATTAAATAATTGGCTTACTTTTCCATTTCTTTCTATTCATACGTTGCACAATTGAAGTTTTTGTATTGGTGTCATCTCATAGAAAATTGAATGGCTATCCATGCAGCGAGGCCTCCTTGTTCCTTTGTCCCTCGTTATCTAGGAGTTTATTCCTCGTCGTCATTTTGAGCTATACTTGGACGTGTGTCTACTTCAATTATACAAGTCATTGCATTTTTATTTATTTAATTCACAATTTTATTGTTGCGCTGGCAGGAGACAGACGGCATGAGGAGGATAAATATGCAGGTAGCAGCAGATGTTGTTGACTTTATGGTTAACTTTTGGTTGGATTTTGGGAGACGTTTTTTTCCTATTGTAACAAAAAGTGGGTCATGAATGTCCACCCACTGAAAAAATCATGCCGGCTGTCACTCAATCATCCTGGTGGGTGACGCCGGGTGAGTTTTAAGAAAGTAAAAGACGAAAGAATAGACACAAAATTGACACACGACGTATGTATGTCTCCGTAATCTGTTTAGTAGCCCAAGTAAGTTGGCTTGGGTTGTTGGGAAGGGAAATATTGCTGGCGATTGATTGATACATCGGAAGAGTAAATATTGATGATTCGTTGTATTGCTTCGGCGAGACTTGTGACGAGATTTGCTGATTGATGATGATGAAGATATGATTGAATATGGATGATTTTTGATTTCTGGCAGAGACAACGCAAATATTTGATGAGCTGGACTCTGATGACGGTGCTGTCCTTCTTCCCAGAAGCAGGGATGGTCCTCTTTATGTCCTTGTACTACTGGGTGGGTGCTGATGTGCAATTATTTTGCAATTATTATTTTGGATTGTATGACTTTATTGGATGCTTTTACGATTATTTTTTTATAGCCTGGACATAAGTACGAGTACGGAGTCATCGAACTTGTGTAAGCTTCAAAGTGAAAAAATATAATGTGATTTACAACGTTCTCTGTAGTTTATTTCAAAGTTCTAGTTGCATTTTTTATGAAAATTGTACTTGACAATTTTGAAATTGATATGAAATTCAAGTTTTGGAACGGAAAACTTTGAAATATTAATTTTGTGTGTAATTGCAGGTATTGGTCTATTCGTGCCATGTTCAACGTAAGGATTTGATTTTGTTGTTTAACAATTTATAAAAAAATCAATTTTGCATAATTATTCTTGATACAAATGTGCATGCATTCTCCGAAAATATCTACCTATCTATACACGACATGTTTGATTAATTGTTGCCTTCTTCTTAATTGTTTATTTAAAATGCATGGAAATTAACTAGAATGTTTCAATTGTTTCAATTCCGCATTGTTTGCATGCAAGTTAATAGTAAAGTGGAGTACCTTCTGCAGAATTATTAAATGCATGATATGCCCTAAGTGCCGCCATTGTTTTTTTTCGGGTTAATTTACAATCTCAATTTTTAAAAATAACAATTCGCTTCAATCCGACCCCACCCACGCCAAATTACAGTAAGCAATTAAGTTAACCCTTGTACTTGCTTGGAAACTTAAAATAGATTGTGTATAAGTACGAACAAATGTTGAAAAAAGCTTGGTTACAAATTGATTCCTTTTTTATATTGATTTGATTTTAATCTTCTTATTTTTTTTTTTAGATTTTTGGAGCCGTTTGTGTCTGCTCTTTATACTTGACGTGGCGTGACGAAGAGCTGATTTTGGGACGGTTGCACGATCTCACCCTGGTATGTGCACAGCTAATTTCCTGCATGACTAAAATATGTCACGAAGAAGACTTGATGATTCCAATATTTTGCAGGCAAACGTCGAGGTAGAGTCACAATCTGTCGGCAGCATTTTTCTCTCTGGGGGAGGAGGAGGTGGTGGCAACCTCTCCGTCTTGGGACGCCAGCAACCTTATCTTGGCGGCGGTGCAGGCGGCGGCACACTTATCCGTGGTGGTGGTCACTTGATAGGAGACAATCTGACCCTGGCCGCCCTGAAGGGGAATGGGTTCGGGGGGACTTTAAAATCCAAGAGTAATAATTTAGGCTACCACAACCATGCGTATGATGCCTCCTATCCTCACTCTTTGGGAGATGGAGGAGGAGGAGATTTTAATAAAAACTCACCTTCTCTCTTTCATTCAAGGTATGCGAACAACTACAACATTTCGCGACCAAGTAGATGTACAGCTTGACGTTTCTCTCGACGTTGACGTCGGTGTAGAGAACTATATTAATTGCGGTGGTAGTGGTGGTAATAATGTTAGTGCTAGCGAAAAAATGCGGGACGACGGAGTTGTTGTTTCGGATATCCATGTCGACCTGGGTTTGAATAAGTGCTTAGAAATTGACGTCGTTGGCCTTTACACTTGTCGCAGCAAGAACGGGGTGCTACAACTTGAACATCACGACCAACGAAGCCCTAGTTTGGTGGGAGGAGGCAGAGAGCCAACCGATGTCAGCACTCGTGGACGATTCTGGACCATCGTGGCGCAATGGTGTCGTCGCATTCGCTTGCTTTGTGGTGTTGGGGGAAGTCAACAATTGGACCAAAAGAACTCGCTTTCTCTGGTTTCAGACTTTGGAGGTTATGGTTGTGGTCGTAGTGGGGAAACTGACTTGATTGTGATAAGGTTTCACCTTTATCTATATTGTGCTAAATATGACGAGACGACATGCATAAGCGATAAGTACAATTGAACACATTGCGATTATCGTTTTTTTATGCTATTTACAGAAATGGTTTCATATCCACATCCCGGACTCATTTGAATACAATCTCTCCACAAACTAATAATTCCAATACTGCACTTCGGGCATCCCTCCTGAGGATGAAGTCAGAGTTCAATCCTGCCTCTCTCTTCGACCCCGCCTCCCGAAAACAGCGCATCTCTGAATTGGGTATCGCTGGTATCGGTTTGGAACCACCAGGACAAATTCCCCTACATTCCAATGGACCTAGGTCAGTAACAATGCATTTAATATGAAAAATTTCAGCAAAATCCAACCATTCTAACCATTTTTTTGTTTCTCTAGATCTCGCTCCTTGTGGAACGTTTCCAACGAAGATTACTGGTCTCGCCCACCCCCTTCCCGTCCCGTGTCGATGGGTTATGTCAACTATGCCCACCAACTTGACCAGTTGAATAACTACAACAATTACCACCACCATCATCACGCCAGCGACTTGGACCCCCTCCAGTACCACATCCACTACTCCCCCAATAAGAGTAGTAACCTTGCCAATATGCGAAGTCAGAGTCACACCCATCTAGCCTCAGTCGGAACTGGTGGTACTCTCCGTGCCAATCTAAACCCCCTCGGGCAAGTCAATAAGAACAATAAAAATTACGGGGGATCAAATCTATTCTTGACTCGATCCGGTGGAGGTGGTAGTGGATGGGAAGAGTTGCGATCTTTCCAACAAGGTCGCCGTGCCCAGAGTATGAATGCTCTGAATGTGAACCTAATCAGTAGTTTGGACATGAATACTGCCTCGCCAAATACGAACGCGACTCTCTTCCAGCAACGATACTACGGACAAAACATTATGACTGGAGGGAACGGAGGGTTTATGCATAGTCACCATCACCCCCATCACTCCACGTTGCAAAGGAGAGAGTGGAGCAAAAGTTCCGTGGACGATGACGATGACGACGAGCGAGATGATGGTGATGTTCGAAGTTACCAAGATATTCCACTCTGATAAGACTAAACCATTCAATCCATAAATTGTCGGCTTTATTTTTTTCAAACAAGTAACATTAAATAAACTTATCGTTTTAAAAGTTCCAACTTCAGCTCATTCTTCTTACTTGTCATCAAGATCAGATATGGTCTCACATAACCTCACCGAACATATCATCACCAAATAATACTCGGATATGACTCGGATAGGAGGTTAACCTCCTAGTTACCAGTTAATTCTCTCAGGAATATTCCGTTGCGTACCAACACATTTGTGTAACGATTTTTTATCACTTGACTACCAGTCCATTTTTCGCAATATTACTTTGCCTACCAATTACACATATTTGTGTAGCAAAATTATTTCCATTAGCTACCAATTACACACTAGCTCGTTTTCCATTGCGTACCAGTTACACAAAATTTGTGTAACTATATCGGGGATTTTTAAAATTCTGGTAGTCAACGGAAATCTATCAAGTTGTAAAATGCCGGACAACGTAAAATTTTCAAAATTTTTATTGGTAGCCAAGAGAAATAATTTTCCTACACAAATGTGTGTAATTGGTAGCCAAGAGGTTAAATATATACAATGAAATAGTGCTTTTTTCGGCTTCCAACGATTTTCGAGTTTGATGGCTTAAAATGTGCGTAATATTTAGTAGATAAAAAATCCGTAATAAAATTGGGATGGTCCTCCAGCAGTTTTCGAGATCTGAGCCAAAATGTGCGAATTTTATGCTAATTTTGAGTTTTGTGTCAAACTCGTCAAAATATGGTCGAATATGACTGGAAAAAATTCATAAATTTATTTTGGACCAGAATTTGGCCGCTGCCTTGATTTCTAACCCCAATTTTCCAATATGTCGAACTTTGCAAAATAATTGCATTTTCCATATTAGTATTCCACGATTGCTTAAATTTGGAGACCACAGTTACAACAAATTTGAACGAAATCGAAGTTATAATATGAATAATGAGTTTCTGTTTAAGATTACAACGGATTCTTGATATGTCCTGTTGCTAATTCGGAATTTTGAAATTAATGCAAAGTTTTGTTAACTACTCGGAATTTTGTTAATGCCGCTTTGACTTGTTATAAGAATACAATTTAATTTATTACTTTTACATTACAGAGCTGTATGTAAAAGTATAACAACGTGTTAATTAATAATTATAAAGTAATAATGTAATTAGTTTTTTTAAAAAGAATATTAGTAATAATTATTAATAATCGTCGTTCGAAGAATCAGACTTGGTCTAAAAATGCCTTAGTCCGAAATACCTTCGACGTCGACGTCAATTGTTTCATCATCTTCATCTTCAACAGTCACCCAGCCACTCTCATCAGAAGAAGAATCGTCACTGTTATTGGCATTATTAGCACCCTCATTGTTGGAATTTTCAGCATTTTTATGATTTGCATTTTCAGCATCATCGCTTTCATAGTGCATGCTTTCGTCATCATCGTATTTTAGTTTATCTACCTCGTTGTCACTATCATCGTCGTCTTCATTGCTGGCATTGTCAGCACCATCAATATTGTTGGCATTTTCAGCATCGTCTTCGTCATTAGAATTTTCAGAATCATCGCTTTCGTCATCACTGTCATCATCACCGGTTTCTGATTCCAACTCGTCGTCACTATCTTCGTCGTGATCCTTTTTATTACTGTTTTTTAGCAATCGGGTCCACTTCTTGCTGCAGTGTGGAACACCTTCGCCAGCCTCTTGTTCTTCTTCCTCCAAGGCGGCAAGATGATCATGTTCTTCAATGATGCGTTCAACGTCTTTCCACTTGTAGATAAATGACGCGGGGGGAAGGTAGGGACGCTTGATGCCCGCCTTGAGGGACTTTGTGCGAGAAAATCGTGAATAATGGACGTAGATCTCCTCCTCAAAATCGTTCAAGTTGTCAAAACCTTCCTTCGGTTTCAACTTGAGGCCTCGAATATGAATCGCAGATGCCACACTTTGAGGATTGCTAGGACGGAAAGTTCCTACAACGAGAAAACGGAACAATTATTCACTCACTAATACGTAACTAAAATAGTATTATTACGCAATTGGTTAAATAAGAATATTAAACTCACTTCGATCAAATGTTCGTTGTTTGACGCCATTTTTGTCGTTCCAAGTCCCCCAGTATTCATCTCGACTTTGTATGTACTTGTCCAGAGAGGTAATGGTTGCCAGTAGAATGTCCCTGTTAAACATTTCCATCATACGTTGTAGTTGTTCCTCAGTTGGGGGCTGCTGAGGATTCGCTGGGAAGCAAAATGGAGTGGCTGATGGCAACGTTTTCTCCTTCACGTCTGTCAGCTTCCTCACAATTTCAGGCAAGTGTCGATATTGGAACACATTGTGGCGAGTCATTGAATACGCCTCGTGATACTAGTCAAAGTCAAGTACAAAATTTTGAGGTTTCAAAATAAATAAATAAATTATAAAAAGTATTAACTTTAAAAATTCAAGTATTAATTATGTACTTCTTCCAGTGTAGAGTTCTTATCTTCCAAATTACGGGACAAGGTTTTGAAGCGGGTCAAGCAACCTTTCCTATTCTTGAAGGAAGAAAATTGCTTAGAAATCTTTTGCCAGTTGCGATTCATCGATACAGCCAAATCCATTAATAAGCGATCTTCCGCCCTACATAGATAAAATCATTGCATTTTTGTAAATGATAATAATTATGTAGTAATTACTACAAATATTATTATAAATGTGTTTCTTCCGACTCACAAAGTCCAAGGGACAATCCAATCATTGAATAGATTGGTAGCACGGTCGCGCCAAGTGGTTTCATACCGCCATGGAAGATATTGCAACAAATAGCCAAAATGTCCCTCATCACAGAGAAAAGGTTTCAAACGTTGCATGGTTAGAAGTAACAAGCAGTCTTCCGTACGAGAAAACGGTCCCACTTTGATGAACGGATTCAGCTTTTTGTACCGCTCCTGTGCCACCCTTTTCGTAATTCCCTCATGATTCAGCGATGCAGCAACCTTTCGCCAATGTCCCGGATTTTCTTGAATTCCTGTTTTGAGTTTTTCGTCCATTTCTTTAGTCCACACGGGTTTTGGGGGAGGAGCCACATGTGTGATGTAACGTTTCATGCACTGAAATGCTGTGTGTGGCAGAGTCGGTTGACCATTCTTATCGACGCTGATTCGTCTGGCGATCTCGTCCCAGTCCTGCACCTTCTCCACGTCGTTCAGATATTGAATTTGCTTGGTTTGTTCAGCTGTCAATCTCTTGTGATTAATCTATTTGTTAAATCAAAACAATATGTAATGATTTATGACAAATTATTATAACAGAATAATTAATTCTGTAATTATCTACCTTGGGATCAATGGCATGCGTGTATGTGCGACTGCAATCATCAGCAGACCGCAATTTTTTTGTTCGATTCATGATTTTCAGAGAAACCTCATACCAATCGACCAGATTGTCGTTATTTTTGTCTTTCATCAACGTGTCAAAGTTCATGTTTCGCAGGCGTTTTTCCATCATGGTTCTCCACTCGCTGAGCTGTTTGGGCAACAGTTCGTACGCAACTGTGTGATTCGGTGTACGAAACAGGACTGGATAAACAATCCCATACTTGTCACGTCTCATAGTTTCCTCCTTGGTTGGTCGTCCACGCCTTCGTTTCCGAGGAGGCTGGTTAAATTCATCGACTAGTTTCCCTTCTCGACACAGTTCGTCCTTTCGACGGATGTCCGACTCCAATAAAAGCTCCGAATAACGGCCGTTTAAGTCATCAATCCGTTGTGAAACGACACATTCTTTAATAGCTTGTTTTAAGGCTTTCAAATCCTTAGACGTCCCTAAATTGAAGTACCAAATAATTTAATAATTAACTATTAATAAACATTAAGTACCATTGATACCGAATAATATGCTTACACTTTTGTTTCCGCACGGGAAAAGGCATGTGGTTCTTCTGAGCATTACGATTAGCATTTGGAAATTCAAATGACATTCCGTCTTCAGTTTTGAAGTAGGGAGGCTCCATCATCATTTTCACCCCTCTGATTCCAGTGATGCTCATCTCATCGAATTTGGCATCTTTCAAGTTCTCCCTGAGATATAATTCCTGAAACTTTTCCTAAAGAATCAATTATAAGAACAATTAATTCATGCTCATGTTGAATTAATTAAATATCCCTTTTTTAATTTGATAATCAAGTGGACAAAATATTATAAAACGTGTGCTGCTCTCTGCTCACCAAAAGACTATATTTCCCTTTCCGTACTGCTTCTACATTCTCCTTTGTCTCATAGATCCGCATCGCGACGACCTGTGCCGAGCCGGCCAACTTATACAGATCCATCTTCATCCTGTTTTTTGTTTCTGAAAATTAAAAATTAATCACAACTCATTAAGTTTCATTACATCAATTACAGAAATAATGGATTAACAATTACTCTACCTCGCAGCTTGTTCGCAAATTCGATGCAATCAATTGACTTAGACTTCTTCCCATATGGAAACGGGGCAATACCAGCGGTCCTGGTGCAAAATTCCAACATTGCATACTTTTGATTATGCAAGAACACGTCTGCCAGCTCGATCAGCCACTTTTTGTTGTCAAGCCGGGCCTTAGCATCCACACAGCTCGCGATGTACACGAGATGCTCCGCTTTCAAAATTGAATTAAGGACGACAGGTGTCGATTGTTTCATTTCGTGCAGCGACATCGCTTGATTTCGTTCATCGCCAGATTGTGTCAGAACTCGGGGACCAATCCGCTTCAATCCCTCGTACTGACGGATTGTGGCCTCTTTGGAGATGTGCAATGTTCGCATCATAGTCGACACGATAGACCCAGTAAATTTCTTCAATGGCAAGGTTATATCCGCTTTAGGCATAATTTCTACAAAAAAAATAGTTAACCAATCCAATATTAATTAATTAACTTGACATTTTAACCAATAAATAATATACCAGTGATAAGCTCTACTCACCATTAGTCTTGAGCGCAGCACAGACCCGTTTCACATCAGCCTCTGAAAAAAGTCTTTCTTCTTTCGGGTCTTCAATTTCAGCTTCCGGGTTTCGACCAAGTTTTGTTTTGATTGGTGCTGCAGGAGGACAATGGTTTTGTTTTTCCATCCGCTTGTAGGACGAGGTATTTAACAAGTCCTTCCGTTCTCCACCCACAGCAACCGAAGGGCGGCGACCCAGACTGCCCGACGAACACGGTTCTTCTGCATCCTGCCACTTCTTATTTTTAATCGATGACTTCCTCCCCTCGTCGTACTCGTAATCAGACCCAGAATCAGAAGAACTTGACCCGTCGTCATCTTCATCATCGCCTTTCCATTTATACGTCGTATCACTCCTTCGTCCACCGAACATTGGAATGTCGTCGTCAGTGCTGAGGAAAGCGTCCATTTCATTATGAACAACTGATGCGTCAGGGATTTCTTCCTTAGGATCGACGACCCCTGAAAATTCGTCGCCCTCAATCTCCACTTCCACGTCCACGTCAATCGACTCTTCCTCTTCAAACTTCAACTTTACTTTGTTCTCTTTCACCTCATCTAGCTTGTCCGGCTCAAGCAACACCAAAGACATGTTTTCGCAGTTTATGGCTGCTTGTCTACTTGTTTTTGAATTTAAATAATAAAGGTGGAGAAAGTTAGAAATTAATTAAAATTAATATCTCAAAAACTCGAACAAAAAACGAACCTAGCCTGACTGTTGCTGGCTTTCTAACGGACGAACTGATTTGAGTTGAGCGCATTCCATACGGCATTTATAAAACCACCCCCACCCCCATCCACCCCCACCTCCACCCCCATCCACCCCCACCCCATCCACCCCCACCCCCACCCCCATCCACCCCCACCCTCATCCACCCCCACCCCCATCCACCCCCACAATTTTTATGGGGCAACGTGAGATACCTTGGGGCAAAGTGAGATTCTATTTCATATTGGGGTATCGTTCGTAATTAGCGAGCGAAGCGAGCAGGTTAGGTTAGATCAACTAGGTACGCGGAAAGCCTGGAAGGCTGAGCTAGCAAACCTAGCTAGCTAGGCTAGATAGAACCTAGGTAGCTAGGGTAGCTAGAACCTAGGTAGCTAGGCTAGATAGAACCTAGGTAGAACTTCCAGCTAGCTAACCTAGGTAGCTATGCTAGCTAGCAAGGCTACCTAGGTTAGCTAGCTAGAAGTGCTACCTAGGTTCTATCTAGCCTAGTTAGCTAGGTTCTAGCTACCCTAGCTACCTAGGTTCTATCTAGCCTAGCTAGCTAGGTTTGCTAGCTCAGCCTTCCAGGCTTTCCGCGTACCTAGTTGATCTAACCTAACCTGCTCGCTTCGCTCGCTAATTACGAACGATACCCCAATATGAAATAGAATCTCACTTTGCCCCAAGGTATCTCACGTTGCCCCATAAAAATTGTGGGGGTGGATGGGGGTGGGGGTGGATGGGGGTGGGGGTGGATGGGGTGGGGGTGGGGGTGGATGAGGGTGGGGGTGGATGGGGTGGGGGTGGATGGGGGTGGGGGTGGATGGGGGTGGGGGTGGTTTTATAAATGCCGCATTCCATAAGAATTTCCATTTGAGTGAGACTCAAATTTACAAACATATTTTGTGCTGATTGATTGTGAGTGAGATGAATATGACGACGTGATATGACGACGTGATATATGACAAACGTGAGACGAATCTCAAAAACTCTTGATTTACACCTTGCCTACTTCAGAATACAGTTCCGAGCATTTTTATTCATGTCATTTTTAAATTAAGTAAAATTAAGCTATGAATAACCCACCCCTAAGAAGAGTATTATTTACGTTTTCTTAATTCTAAAGAAATTCAAAATAGTTCTGAACGGTGCTCCGAGAATGTTTCTGAGTTGTTGCAGTTTATTATTTCCTTGCTGCGGCGTAGTCGCCGATGGTGTCGAATCGTTTTTTCGGCGTGTCTTCCAAAATTAAGTGGAGAGGGGAGACTTTCGACGTCGGTGTTAATTTTAGAATGGTGGTGGGACTATAATTGAACAAAATTGGTTAGTCAATTTCCAGCATAAATTATCTGGCACGTAAAAAAATACCTGGTTTTTGTATCCATCAAGACTGATCCATCAAGAAGATTTTGTCACGATTTTTCACCATTAGCTGCGTTAATGTTAATGTGCTCTTAGTAAAAAGTTTATAGACTTGTTTACATACACCTTTCACCTTTCCAGTTGATACTGAATTAACTGAATAGACAACTCGTAAAAATACCTTCCAATTCCAATCTTGATTAATTAATGCTGCGGACATAATGTGGTGTTCAAAAAGTGTGATATATTTGCCATCCTTATTATTATTGGTCCATTTCCACTCCATATTTGGTTTTCAAAGATTTATCGACGACCCTGGTAACGTATTGTCGTCACCCTTTGTCAAACCTAATAATCGAAGGACAGTTCGAGATAACAATGACAAAATTAGTAGCAGCCTTAGTGACGATAGTACTATTGGTGATCATGAACAGGAATTAGCAACCCCACCAACCATCAACATCCCTCAAGGGAGTTTGGTCGGATCGTACGAAACATCTCGAGCTGGGCGAACTTTTGCTTCGTTTAAAGGAATACCTTACGCCAGAGTGGGACAACGTTTCACAGTGAGGATGGTTTCATTTCAAAATGCATACTTATCACCGTTTTTACGACTTGGTAGTACCAAGTTGGTACTTATTACACTTTGTTTGATCAGGATCCATTACCACCTCGGCCATGGAAAGGACGAGTACTAAACGCGACCTCGTTTGGACCCAGATGTCCTCAGATTGTCGATGGGGGTCGTTTCGTAGGGACAGAGGAATGTCTCTTCCTTAACGTCTTTGTCCCTAAGTTGGTACGGATTTGATAGCAGATTGAGTGATATAAATTGTGTTTTATTCAATAATTTCAATTTATTTGTAGGTTCCATTGAGCTCAGCATCAACCAAAAAAGAACGGCCCTTCCCCGTCATGGTATGCATTGAAACGGGTGGATTTCAATTCGGTGGAGGTGACCATTCAGGACCAGACTATTTCATGGACGAAGACGTTATCCTGGTCACGTTCAACTATCGAGTAAATGTTTTTGGTAATTGCTAAAAAACGTATATTGTTTATTTACTAATTTGGGCTGTGGATAATGTAATCATTGAAACATAATTATTTGTTTGATAGGTTTCTTATCCACCCATGACCAACTTATACCTGGTAACATGGGGCTAAAAGATCAACACCTTGCTCTAGTCTGGGTTCATCACAATATTGCCGCATTTGGAGGAGACCCTTCAGCAGTCACCATCTTTGGTGAGTCTGCGGGTGGTTCTGCAGTCACTTATCAGTTGCTGGCCCCCGCGTCAAGAGGTTTGTTTCGGAGTGCGATCGCCCAATCTGGGAGCGCCCTCATTTCTCGACATTTTACGGAAAACCTAGCTTTGGCTACGGCCGTTTTTGCTGACCGAGTTGGATGCACTACGAAAGGGGTGCGGGACATGGTGGCATGTTTGCGAGGGAAGGGGGTGAAAGAGTTGTTACAGGGGCTCATACCGGTAAAATATTCCCACTCAGATAATACTTACATAACTTGTTAGAGATTGATTAATTACCTCAAACTAATAATATCTAGAAGGGAAACGTGCTGGAGGTCCCTGCCCAAATATTCGTACCCACACTGGAACCTGGAGCATCTGGTTTTCTACCCGCTCCACCCCTCCAACTACTCCGATCAGGTTCCTTTGCCAAGGTCCCACTCGTACTCACCGTTACGAAGGATGAAGGGCTTCTCCGAAATTCTGCACTTGTTATCAAATCCCCCGAGCTACTCTCCCAACTCAACACTGCCTGGTATGACGTGGCTCCCGTGGCGTTTGGAAATTACGACAAACTCCCAGTCTCACCCTCCACACGGACCTATATTTCCTCTCGAATTCGAGAACTCTACTTTAATAATGCCGAAATTACGATGGATTCACTGGAAAACCTCACCGCTTTGTATTCCGACTCCAGCGTCATCAGTGGAGTGAAACAGTATGCGTTGCTGCATGGAAAGAAGGCTCCAGTTTATGCAGGAGTCTTTGCGTTTGAAGGGATTTGGTCGTCAATCTTTAGTTTTGGGTATACGCAGCCATTGGGTACATTAGTCAAGCCTACATATTTTACTTTTTGTGTATATTTCTCAACTTTTGTACTAACAGAAAACTGTGCTTAATTTAGGAATTGCCCATTCTGACGATCTTCAATATCTGTTTCATAACGATGTGTACCCAAAATTCACGCCAGGGTCGAGATTAGAAAACATCTCCAAGCATTTTGTGAAATCGTGGGTCAAGTTTGCAACAGTGGGGTGAGACATGATTCCCTAAAAGCCTTAAAACAATAATATTGTTAATATTTAGCAATCAAGGAAATCTAAGAATCTTAAAATTGTAGAATTCCGGACCCCATCCAAATTCACACGCCTCCTTCGCAATCATATTCCTGGCCACTCCTCACGGGAAAGGAAATCATTTCGGGCGCAATCAACTGGTTGTATCTGAAAGATGTTCCCCAACGCCACGTCGAACCACTACGGAGTCGATTAAAGTTTTGGGATTTTATAAATATGGTGATAGAATTCGATTTAAAGTTGTAATCAGAATGAAAAAAAGTAATCCGAGTCTGTAATATTTTCTTTTCTGTATTTCTTTATTTTCTTGAGAAAATGAAATTATCCGTCACAGAATAGTATCAAGTTTTGTTTGCTCAGTTTATCATGTAATTATTAATTTAATTCGTAATGGCGGCAAACAACGCAGCGTCAAAATAATGCATTTCTTACGATTAATCAATTAATTTATCATTTCTTGCTAAGTAATTATTAACTAGATTTTCTGTATCAAGTATAATGCGGGCACCTGTATAATAATCAATATTCGGGTAAGATATGGGTGGGCGTAGCAGGGATCTGTGGTAGTGCTAGTGCAGAGATAAAAATAAATAATCTTTTTTCCTAGTAATTCTGTGCTTTATATTCCTCCTCATTCTGCATCTGCTGCCACTTTACTATTATTATTACTAGTATTATCGGATAAGTTATCAATTCATGCAGGTTCCTTGAAGTTTGACGCACTAGGAGACGCTGGAACAATGTCAGGGTTATTCAGTTTAAATGAGAGTTCGTCCACACTTTGCGCAAGAGACTTGTTCTTTCCGGCCGCATCAACAAGGGCGAGTTCGGCCTCTGTTAGTTTCGCCAACAGGGACAACTTTTCGTCTTTGTTTAGATTCAATTGAGCTTCAACATCTTCCACTCGGGCCGAGAGCGTTCTGACTAAATTTTCACATTTTATGAGTTCTTCCTCCTTCATGGTTAGCACTTGGATTCGCGTCTGCATATCCTTCATCTTCAGATTGTTCATCTCTATCACGGCAGACATGGAGGCAACGTCCTTAATTAGAACGTCGTGAGGGCTCTACAAATTATTTTGAAAAAATCAATAAATGAGGTGCAAATATGGCAAATTCCTGAGTAAATTTGCAACGAATTGATATAATTACCATGTTGATGTGTCTTTCGCGATAGCTTTCCATTTCTAAGCGATGAGCTTCCTTTAATCTGTCCAGTTCCTGGCAATGCGCTTTCTCCTGTTCCACCAACTTTTCTTCGTACGATGACCGAGCTGTAAGTAACAACGTAATTTCGTTAGTTTCGATTTTATGAAAAAAATACAATCCAATTTCTGAAAATATTTATAGTAGCTTAATCCTGAACCTTCATTCTCTTTTCTCCTCTTTTTCTTCTGATCGTTCTTCTTTTTCATGCCAAAACAGGCACAGATCGATGCAAACATTTTAAACTCTATACTTTAATAAATAATTTCCTATATACCAAACTAATATTTTTCTCAACTATTTTCCTTTACGTCAAATAATAATTATTTTTTAACTATTCGTCAAAATATATTACACTTTATAACAAAGAGCTATTAAACTGCAGAGGAATGGAACAAACAGTAACAAATGCCCCGTTCCACCGAGCACTTAAAACTGAACTGGCTACATACACTTGTAAAACTTTGTCTGGATAACGAACAGGAAGAGAGAGACCAGACGATCATGGAGAGACGAATAAGATGAAGAAGGGACCTTTTACAACATTTTATGACTATGTACAGCAGGGGAATAATAATAATGGGCACCTGGTCTGTTAGCAGGTTTACTTTAGTGACTGCTACCTGCTTCCTTTACTTGCATAGTATTTAGATACCATGCATGCATTCACATATGTATGCACAATATCTTACTACTTGAGCTAATACAGTTTACTTTATGATGTTGGTACAAATGGAATGAAAATGTTTGGTTTCGGTCGTGGGCTGTTGATAATATTATTTGGACTGAAGGATACATGCATGCATTCAATTTACAAAAAAAACCTCATAACTTGACTCATTCACGGATGACCATGCATTCACCATTTGCATTCTTCTTCTATTAACTGAAGGCAAACGAAATACAGTACTTATTGCTCGTGTGTATAGTATTATTTAGATGCAAAGCTGGATTTGTTTGTGGTATCAGTTAGTACATAACCAGCCAACTAACAAGGTAAGGAACGACGACGACACGAATGCAACGTCTCTATTTACGGAACTTCAATGTCCTTTGTTCCTCCTCAACACCCAAAATAAGGAGTAACCTAACCGGCTCTACAGGGTGGCTTTATCTCATCGCATCTTTATCTTTTCCTCTCATAAACCTTTACATTTTTTCCATTATTATTGACTGGAACAGAGATACGACGAGTAGTGAGAGGCTGATGACTCTGAGTCAGCATTACAAACTGGACCGTTAAAAACATGTCAAACTAGAATTTTACAAGGTGCATAATTCAGTTCGATTCGAGTGACTGTGAATGTGACTGTGACCATAAAGTAAAAGATGGACACGAGTTATTTGCCAAGAACACCCTGAACATAACGAAATGAGGATCGATTGGTCCGTGTTCATCTTATCGTAATCTATCCATCTCTACATACAACAAGTCATGAATGATGGTGAATGAGACAAGTACGGCACATGCATGCACAATTTTACTAAGAACTGATTTGAATCGGACAAATGCCACCAGTGCAAAAGTCATAACTTACAACAAGAGCATGGCTAAATATGCGTATAACTTGCAACAATACTTGGTCGTGAGCTACGATAGTTGCATAGCTAAAAATGTAAAGATGATGATATTACAGAGGGAGATGCTTATTCCATTACACAAAACTGCCCATGTTGATATTTTACGCTAAGACGGAGCATAGCCCATTATGGTGTTGCCTTTTTTTAATATAAAAACTGTCTGGAAAATGGGTAATTCTGACGCCCTAATATCCCACAGAAATCCCAAACATTGAATAAATAACTGGACTGAGTCATCCTCCTCGTATGTCTACGAGTAGATACTTAAACAATCCATGAAAACAAAATTGTTTAACTTACACTCGTCAATTTGTTGTAAAAATTCCGATTTTAGTTTCTCAACATCCTTTTTGTGTGCTCGCTTATGTTTGACGATTTCCTTTAAGTGCATCCCTTCGTTCATGTCCAACTTTTCTTTTAGGATGGGGACTTGTTTAAGTTCATTTTCCGCATTTTCTAAAGATATAGAAGGATTAGCATCAATTTCCCGGTTGAATTGACAAGATATTTTTTATAACTGATAATCTGGTTTTAACATACTTAGCAGCGATTCTAGTTGACAGATCCTTTGGTTAGCAGTGTGAGTGTGGCTGGTCGCAATGTCACTCTGTAAATAATAACAAAATTATTAATAGTCTTCGATAATCCCTATAATTACCAAATTCAACAAGATTAATGTACACCTGGTCTGAATCTATCTGAGTTTTCTATTCTTTGTAACCACACAATTTCTTATCAAATTAAGGTTTGACAACTTGTGAAAAGGAAGTTTTGGTTCCTAAATATTTTGCTTGTAGCTATTCACTCTCTGGATTTGCATAACTTTCTTTCACCATAACTCACCTTTCCCCAGACCTCAGTCCCCCCATTCCAATCCAGAAAAGGTGAGAAAAGCCACATAATCCAAGCGTTAAAGATTCTCCAAAGACTCGACATGGTCACCCCATAAATTACTACAAATACTAACAACTACCCAAGTCTGCCCGAAAATATTACTTGTCCAGCACAGATGGAGACTAAACTACTTATGAATCAATTACGAATTAAGACGGACTACAAAATGTGAATAATAATCCTTCTTCCATTGATAAGAAACAATTTTGCATAATTTTTCGCGGAGGCGGAACAGTAACAATGAAGATGAGCAGTTTCATATCGTCCCAATGACTTAGCATAGCGTGCATAAAACCCAGCCCATCTCCAGCAAAGCTATTTCTGAAACGAAAAAGATTGTCCAACTGACTCCATGCATTCTCATTCTTCTCCGAATCGACCTTGGCCATGAAGATCATTTCCATAAAATTAACCATCAATTCACCATAGGACACATGCATATATCACTCCCAACCACCACGCACTTCCCATAAATGGACAATCTTACTCAAGTTTTGGCCAGATTACTGCAACGGCAGACGCAGAAAAAAAAGTGTCGACCCATTTTGAACATTGTTCTCAAATTCAGATTCACACCAGGCTTGACAACTTGCGTAATACAAATTACTGACCTTATCCACCGTATTTTGCACCACAATCGCCATAGCTTCGACTTTCCTGGAGCATGCCGCCAACTCCGTGACTAGTCGGACCCTCTCCTCCTCAGTCTGGTTGGTCAGGGCGGTCAGTTCTTGGAGCTGGCCATCTTTCACGACATGTTCCCCCTGCAGTCGATCCACCTCCTGTTTAAGGCGAGCCAGCTGTTCTCGCAAGGTGGGTGTGGCTGAGTCAAGATGGTGATCCTTCTCATCTCGGCGTGAACGGGACCGGGTGGTGACTCCCTCTTTCGACTTGGAGATGGGTGCGGGGTGAGAGCCGGAGGTGGGGATTCTGTTGTGATCTAAACAAAAGGAAAAGTGGTATTAGTTAAGTTTAAGGGTGAGGGTTAGAAGAGTTAGAATTGCAATGGGGTCATCTATCATGCTGGCAGATGTAGGTGATTCAATTATTTAATGATGGATACCGCCACCACCAACACATTGTCAACCTGTGTATGCACCTACGTATTATCATTATTATTCTTGACCGCTCTGGGCGTTTATTCACATGCATATGTGAAAACAATTTGATAATGATGGACACATGTTGACTTTTCCCTTCCGGTTGGTGAATACATAAAATGTCACCACACCTTCTTACGCTTTGTGTCCACTTTAACTCAATTAAATTAATTATGTGACCTGTTTTGAGACACGTACTAGATTATTGCACACTTGTGAAATTTGCCATATCCCAGGGGAAAAAATGTGCAGAACAACAATTCACACAAACCAAGTGTCTCAAATTCCGGGAAGATGAGAGTTATCATTTTTTACGAGTTTTCATTTTATGTACAAATCCAACCAACCCACACAAGTACATAAAGTTATTTAGATGTGGGTTATGTACATAAACTGATCGTGCATGTCTTTTAATGTAATTTGAGCTTTTTTGCACTTCAACTTTTATAAACCCAAATAACATAATAATAATAACAATAAACAAAAACCGGCCATGTTGAACCAGAAAATGCAGCAAAGCCAAAAAACCTGTTGCGTTTTGTTTAAAATAAAATGCAAGTAGATAAAATTAATCAAAAGCTCTCAGTTTTGGCTTGTGCTCTCCCATTTATACCAAATTTCGCAATCACTTTAAAGATTAATAGAATATTATCTTGCATTGCATACATGAAACTGAATGCGAGTACAGAAAAGTGTTCGCAGAATTTACCACGCTCATAAATAAACAAGATACCATTTAGTGGTAGCTAAATGAGATGAGAAAGTAGCAGTATCATGAGTAATGGGATCCCAAACCTGCCAATTTGAAAAAATGGGGTTCAAATTTATTACCCTAAAGTATTATTAATAAGAATTAACCTTGCAGAAATTGAAAGACTGGCCGGCGAAGACCTTTCCTTTCATAATTTCAGCAAATATAAACAACTTTTATTGTGGTTTTGCTATAACATGCTACAACAACACCGCAAACACATAAATCCTTCGTTATTCATGAAGAAACAACCTACCAAGTTTAACAATCAAATCGTTTACAACAATTATTTCTTCTACTTCCACTTCCTCACAATGTATTCAAAATCAACTCGACAAGGTAAAGAGAGAAATTGGACGATAATAAATTAAACAATAGGAAATCGACTACTCGCCAAAGGTTTGAAACTTAAATTCCCAATTAAAAATTATGCCTTAATAATAACTGCATACATAAGTATCTATTAAACTCATGCACTTTCTACCCCTCATCTTGACTAATAACAAGGGTTGATTGATATGATTGATTAGACTCATCATCAGTCAACATACCACAAATTGTCATCGTTTAACAAGACGACCCCCTTCCCACAAAGTAAACAAAAGATCATAATAATACACACCTAAGGAATGATCAACACCATTCGTGTTACCAGGATCTCTTTCCTGATAACTTTCATAGCTTGCATAGTTGGAGACGGCACTCCCACTCCCGTCACTGCCCCCTCCTTCCCGACCAGGAATGAAGGTGAGGTTTAAGCTATTTTTGAGATTATTGATCAGCACGAGCGAGGAGTCGCCACTGCTCGACCCCAGAGATGAACTTTCACCTCCTGGACTGTAGTCGAGCTCCTCCCAGCGTCGCAAACTTGGGTGATGGTGGTGGTGGAAGTTATCTTCTTCCTCCGTCGTGCTGGGGCTGACGGGAATACCGACCCCGATCCAGGATGGATATCTGGATGATGATGGTGGGGGGATGAAATGTGTCCCATTTAGAGCGTCACTACTGGTGATGGTCATTGTTCCCTTGTCGAGGGTGGTAATAGTTGATGCCTTGACAATTTCTTCCGTCTGCGTGGTGGTGCTAGTTTGTGGAGGAGTGGTCGTGCTGGGAGGAGAACCTGCTGCTCTGAGACAGGAAATTAGTTCATGGATTTCTGACTTATTTGTGGCCAAGTTGACGCGGAGTTGTTCCAATCGGAATGAGACTGGGTTAGTAATTGGGGATGGAGGTTCTTCATATTCGTCTTCTGGGGTTAATAAGATCCCCAAGTTGTCCACGCCTTCTTTATTGCTGGGCTCCGTGTTGTAGTTTTCTCCCTCGGCATAATGTGACGAGGTGGTGATGGTAATTTGGCCTTGTGGTTCTTCCTCCTCCGGCCGCATGGGTGGGGTCGGAGGTGGGGTGGGAAGCAAGGGTTCAACTTCACCGTCATCGTCGTCACGATCCCCCACGTTCAGAATGTTACAACTCTGTGCCCTCTTGGATCGATCAAACTCGTGTAGATCTTTTCCCCAGAGGGATCTGTAGTTCATGTGGTCAAACTCTTCGTCATCATTCTCCAAAGTGTCGTAATTTTGCAAGAGAAGTAGTTCCGATTTGGCACTGGATGGCTGTCGAAATAGTGGCGAAGAATCATTGTTGCCCCCCGATAAGAGGTCAAAGTCACACGCGAAAGAACCACCATTTACCAGACTAACTTTCAACTTTGAAGAAGACGACGACGACCTAGTTTTTGTCACCGTTGTAGAGGTGACCTTCTTCCTCCGGTGGGATTTCGACCAGCAAAACATATTTGCTTTACTAATAGTCAAACTTGAGACAAAAATCCTTAGGATTCTTCACCCATCATTTGCATATTCTTGGAAAACACACACGTGAACTTCTAGAACTAACCGGATTCAACTGTTATCGGAACGAGGTTGTAATTATTATACTGACAAAATTAATTATTAAACACGAGCCTCCCCATTCACACGAACATTCCATCCATCCACCACTCACTGCCACCAAACAAACACTAGATCAGAGGAATTATTGAGGCCCTGTACGTTCCGTCCCGTCCCGTTATTTAATAAATAACACTGCACTTTGCTATTTCCCAGCACAGTTAAAATGTACAACCAACATTTTATTACAGCAACAAACTCTGGCTAAAAAATCAGTATGTTATGTTATGTTCCTTCTTTATTACAATACTGCACAATCAACGAGGATGGAGCAGCCTCATTCTTGGTAAAAATGGTATCACCACTTTTGAAAGTTTGTTAGTTTAATCTATCTTTACCCAAATTAAACGTTCAAGAGAATTTGCATTTTGCAAAGATGTCCAAATTATGCAATCTTTTAAATTTGTTTTGGCATCTACTAGAAACACCAATGACCGACCATCATCACCACACACAATCAGCAAAAGAATGTCAGAATATTAAGTAAGTAATCGCCGGGTGGGTGACACTTTTTACGTGGGTTTGTTGGACTCCCCTCGTATTTCTTCGTATGGACGCAAACGAGTTGTCCTTTTCGTTTATAATGTTTTGTTAGTAAACACACAATTATGGATGATAATGGGACAACACTAGTCTCCTCTATTCTTCTCCCATTATCTTAGGTGAAGGAAATGTGGGCGATTTTGGCAATTTCCTTGCAAAACAAAACAACAAACTTGTTCAATTTGGAGCAGATCGAAAAAGGCTTTTGTATTATACTTTTTTTTAGAAATCGCTGCTCGATCGAGTTAAAACTTTTCTCTTATTTTTAACAACTTTTCATCAATTAATTGCACCACTTGGTTTAATGAGGTACAAGATGCGAATTCAATCATCAAGGTCTGCAGATCTTGGACTTGAAAAATACTTTGATACTTTACTCTTAAAAGTTGGCTTGGGTCTCCAATTTTTTCAAAATTTCCAAAAAACCTTAGCCCCAGCACCCACAGCACAGCTTGTTGTTACCAGCCAAGTAACACTTGTGACTGTGAGACCTGGCAGAATTGAATCTCTTCTTAACTCTGTCTACTAACCTGCTAAAAACGCCTTGGATCAGTGCAACCATCGATGGAGCACTACCTACAGTACTACTTGCCCCAACCAAGCAACTACCACTTAAGCAAAGCCGATGCCGATGGACGACGACGACGACGTGTACCACTTTTTTGCGAACCCAACCAACATTGCATTCGACTAGCTGAATGCGAAAGGAATAAATGAAATGCAATACACAATACGACAACATAATAGGAGGGATGGCCAGTCTCAACTCGCAGGTAAGTTCAGTCTCATCTCATAACCAACTTATACACTTCCACCACATCCACATCCACGACTACTATCAACTTGTTGCCATTAAATTAAATTCCAATCCAATCTACCTGCGGCGATACGTTGCACACACAGACGAACGGACGAACCAAAAAAAATACAAATCCGAAAAGTGCACAGAATGAGGATGATATTTAGCTTTACATTTTTTTCTGCATAAATCTATCAGTTAACTTCGTGGTGAAACATAGCACACATCTCTCTCGACATACCACCGTTACTCAATCAATGGTGGTCGACATTAGTAATGCTGAATGTATGGTAGTATATATCTCCAACTTTGAAATTTGTAGATTTGATCCACAAAAATTACCCTGATCAAATTCCGAGTCTCATCTGACCGAAATTGTAGTAATGAAATGCGAGATCATGGCCGAGCCGAGGTTCCGCATGGATTCTTCTTCTCTCTCATGTTCACTTTGTCTCTCTCGCCCTTTTGTTTTAATAACTAATTACATACTACAAGTAGATACTAGCTTTTTAATGATTGTTTTTTCTTCAATTCCTGAGAATTAATCAATGGCATGCACCACGACCACTTGTAAAATACGTACATATCTAAATACGTATGTGTATTATAATTATGATAATGAAAATTTGTTCTAATTTAAGGATTGACATTGTCCCAAGAAGAGAACAACGGGCCGCAGAGAACTGAGGTTTATTGTATGGCGTAGTCTTCATTAGCGGTCCATTACTCGGTGTAAAAATTCCTTTTACAGAAGTTCAGCCGTGGTGGTTGGTTACACTAGTTTGCTGCAATATCACGGGTTGTGTGGATTAAAATAATAATAATGTTATTTCGATGAGCTGTATCATTATTGTTTGACTAGTTAGAGCTTGAGCACATTTATCATGGACTAAATCTATAAATTTCTAACGGATCGTTGTATTACAACCTTTTATTCATTCATTCATCATGCTATGCTACGGAACATATCCTTCCTGCTTCACCACCGCTGCACGTTATGTTCCCGGTTGGGTTGCATAGATTATCCGATTTTAAAAAGGAAATGAAACAGTTACAGTTTTATCCTTGTTGTTCACATATTCTGTAAAAAAAAACCTATACGAGGAACAACATCATAAAAATCGTGTTGGTTGAACCCTAATCGACTAACTAACTCTGTTTGCAAATAATTTTTTAAGTGACACTAATAAACAAAGATTTAAATTTTATTGTGCCATATTGCCTCGATTTCGAATATCATCATCACCGGCTAAGAACAACTTTCAACTCTTTGTAATAAATCCCTACCACCAACTCACGCAGGGTAAGTAATCCTCTCAGACCTTGTAAAAGTCATGGATTTCGCGATAAAAGCCTTAAACGTAGAGAGAGTGCAAATACATAAATGTGGGCCATTCCACTCATCGTCTCATTCATCCCGGTGATAATAAATACTCTTTAAAAGCTCCAAATAAAGTGAGACTTACGCACTTAATAAAAGAAGAAATCTATTATTCCGTCAACAAGTTTGAGTTTATGTGGATCCAAATTCGGAAATTTATATTAGCCCGAATTTTTCACCTTTTATTTTTCAATCGTTCACTTTGCCCCTTTCACCAAGAAGAACTTTTAGCTTAATTATTTCCTAGGCTCATCATGACCTCAATTCTCTTTGTGATGTTTAACAATAATAATAAATTCTTGGATTTAAATCTTGATTTCGACTGCATTTTTTCCAAGAGGATGTTCCTTCGTTCATGAGTTGTTTCGCATCCTACAAACGTTATTACATACGTGCAGCTAAATATGTATTCTGATATTACACGAATGATGATCTAGACATTCACAACCTGCGCAAGAATGCTGCCAAAGCACTAAAAATATTAAAATTCCAACCCAACCAGAGAGGAGGGAGTGTGTCTGCCTGCCTGCCTGCGCCTGTATTATTGGGAGCCGTCAATAAAAATCCACCACCAATAATTAGCACACCTCTCCTTCAACTTGACCATCACTCCCGATAATAATACTCAACTGAGGATAATAATAATGGACCCCAAGTCATTGACCACTCAACAACACTGGCACAAAAACATGTGAGATGTCGACAAAAAATGCATGAGAATCCTGAATAAAGCAACTACTTACGAGATGACCATTCATTCTCGATTGTCGTCTCTCTCTCACGCCAGGCGAGTCAGGAATGCATCATGCACTTTATTTCATTCCGTGCGACATCGGGGATTCACACCTCAGTCTCATAATTGAATAGGGAATCATAATTAGCAATATTACAAGAATTGGAATGTTGTTTGTTAGACAATCCAGAAAATGAGCAATTTCAATTCAGGTACTTGTGTACACACATAAATACAACCTGAGTGTACTTACACATTTATGTACATACATACGTCGTACCATTACGACGCATAAACCATTAACAAGACAAGTAGATGCAATTTGCGTGAAGAGATGATTGCACTTTGTGAAACGAAAGAAAATCAAATCTTCCCCTGAAGCAGTAGTGCCGTCGTAAATATCCATCTTTTCTGCCTCTCTTTGGTGTGAAGGGAAATCATTTCTATATGACGACAGATAAATAGCAAATTAAATTGCAAATGCGATTTCGTCCGCCAAAATGGAACTTGACTGACTACCGAATAAGACGAGAGCATGCATACAAGCTCATCATCATTATCACTGCAATGCAATGCCCGCCTGGGGAGATATGTATGCCTAAATTTGGGGATTAAATAATAAAAAGTAATAAATTCTCCTCACCTCGCAAGGGTTTCACCAGGGAGGATTCATGACTTAGAGTGGCTTTCGCATTTCGAGCGTTATTGTTCAGTGGTCCAGAAGGAACCCCAACGGGCTGTTTTGTACTATTTGTTGTCGTCGTCGTCGTCGTGATGGAGGCGGCCCCTGTTGTTCCTGTGAAATGACAGGCAATCAATGTTTAATGGCGATAGAGACAAGATTAATACGTGTAAATATGGGCAGGTTATAAGGTCACCTTTGCTGCTGACGGTGGCGTTGTTGTCATCCAAAGGTTTCGCACTAATTGCGAATGATTTCCTACTTTTAGACCTCGTCCCCATCGCGACATTCGTTGCGGTTGTGCTGGTAGGTGAAATTCGGTTCAGACTGTTAACCTGGGGTGCATTAGTGTAGGGAGCACCATGCTGGGTCGCTGTCCCCGTTCGTGTGATTGTCTTATTTTTCGCAGTGGTACGATTGTTATTCACGGAAGAAGATTTTGGAGCTGTGGAACGACTTTGAGAATCTTGGTCTTGTTGAGAAGGTGCGGAATTAGGGTTTCCTGCTGGAGGACAAGGAATCGATCCTCCCCGACTTTTGGGAGGGTGTGGTTGCGACGAGGAACATTCCGATGCAGTGGAAACGTCACTAATTTGTCGTCTTGGTCCGTCTTTTTTGGGTCCTGAAATAAACACAATTTGTCAATCGGGTTCCTATTAACCTCACCAAATTGATTCTGTCCATCAGCTACATGCTTTTGCTACGAAATTATTCACTACCTGGTACACTGTGACGTGTCGGAATGCCACTTCTACCCGAGCTGACATGACCATGATCACCGCTCAAATTCATTCGTGGCCAATTACAATTGCATGTTTTATTTACAGTTCAAAACTCAGACGCTGAAACTCGCAAACTCCACAATGCTTCGTGACAAACGACTTTCAAATCAATTCAATTCTTTCCGATGAATAATTCGTCTTCAAAATCGACACGGGTGACGCGAAACTACTGCAGCAATAAATTATTATGCAGGCTGACATGACACGAACCCTCCTGGTCACAGTAGATACTTTTTGTCACTCAGTTTGGGGAATAAATGTGTATTTTTTCTTATTTAACCCGACTTTTGTAGGCAGCCAGCGTCCATCTGTTCCCACTACTGCTGAGGAATTAGGATAGGACGACGACGACAACGAGGAGGAGGAAACATCAAAAGGTATCGATCCACCCTGCCAACATGTAGTTTGCGAATAATTTGCCAACAGACAAGCCAACACGAGGAGAGTTTTCCCTCTCTGACGCTAATATCTAGTGGGAACGGTGTGCATGCATGTGTGGGTACTACCACCACCTACTCATTATATGCACATGCCAAACTACCCGGAGAAAGTCAATACCAGTTTGAGAGAAAGCAATCGTGTCCACAAATACACGACCAGTGCGCTATTCGAATGCTGTAAAGGGATATGTGTGGATATCATAAACAGCTCCTCTCGCCGAAAAATGAGCAGTAATGATTGACTGACTGTAAATGGTAGTGGCACATAATAATAGCCTCGTGTTTTGTGTGTGTGTGCATTGGATATGACTTGCAAAATCCATCAATACCATTTCCCTAACGTCATGTGAAACCATAAAGTAAACGGAATGACTTTGATGCTTAAAACATGAAAATTCAAGGACATTTCTTTCTGTGGATATGTGGAAATTGTCCCCAAAATTATTTAATAGGCTGGATATTTGGTGGTGGTTTGGTTTGGTTTGGTTTTGTGATGGGGAGCATTGCACGCACAAAGTAAGAAGCAAGTCGTAGAATGAGAGGTTTCGAAATGAATAATGAGGTCATTCCAGGCATGCATGTCTCAACTTCTGCTACTTCGTTTTAGACTACAGTGTGGGAAGCTTTCTTATGAAAATGAAATATAATTAGCAGCAGAGAAAGCAGTTTGGAGAGAAATGTGTGAATTGCGTCGGTATGGGTACGACTAATGGCGAGTAGGGAGATTCAACTAAAGATAAGACCTCAATCCAGCACCCTAATCAATGCATACATACACAAGTAAGTAAAACGAAACTTGTTGGTTCCTTCTAAACTTGGTTATGTCACGCAACCTCTAAAATGTAAGAACAATTAAAAAGTGAAAAGCAATCTTACTTGACTTGACTTGTTTCACAGAAACGAACTGCTTTCTCTCCCCGTGAAGATCTGACCCATCGCTCGAGGTGGAGTCGGTCCTCTGAATCCCGCCACGCTTGTTGGTCGTACTTATTGTCCCCTTATTATTGTTAGCTGTATCATTTGTGGGTCCACCCTTCTTACTGGTCGTAGTCGTCGTACTTGAGGAGACAACAGGCTCATTTTCCGAGTCCTTGATCTCACTTCGGAGTCCAGTCCGCTTACTTCTGCTGCCTCCCAAGCTGCTCGTGGAACCTTTGCCCATGCTGTTTTTCACACTCGCCAGTGCACTTGGTGTGGGTGCCATTCGGTCAAAAACTTTGGCTTTCACTTCCTTCACGTTAATTTGCTTCCCTTTCCCTTCATTGATTTTGGCCATGACGTGGTCCCATTTGTTGATCAGTTTGCTCCTCCCTGAAGTCGACGATGCTGACCCTGGGCTCCGGCTGGCCACTCCAGCACCCCCGCTTAGATTGGAGGTTGACGATGCCAAACTTCTCGTACTGCCGCCGAGACGTCCAATTCCAGAAAATAAGGCGTCCTTACTCGAAGCAATACGACGACTCGAACTGGCCACCGTGTCAGCCAAGACTGAGGAAGGTTTTCCCTTTACACGCATATTTTTAGTGGCGGTGGTGGCTGCCGTAGAGGAGTTGATGGCAGCCGTGGTGGTGGTGGTCGTCGTGGAAGAAGTAACTTTCTCCGTTCGGGTACTACCAATACCAGAGGATTTGTTGTAACTAGTTTTCACAACAGGCTGGAGAAAGCTTGGTGGTGCGTTGGTTGACGTCGTGAGGCACGAGACGCTTTGACTTCGCAGCATGGAAAATTCTCCAAAGAGGAGTTCGTGGTGACCGGCTCCTCCCATGGCGAGCGTGCTGTCGTCCAAACATGGCTTCCTGGTCGTCAGAGGAATCTCGTTTTTCGACAAAGGTGTCACAATTTTGGCAATCAGGGTGGAATCCAGGGCGTCCCCTTCTTCCGGACTATTTCGTTCCGTAGTGATGGTGGAGGAGGCATCTTCCGTCGTGGTGGAGTTGAGCAGGGTGGCTTCCTCTTCATGGTCGACGTCATTATTCGAAGCTACGGAGCCCGAGGATGAATCGCAGTCCGAGTTGGACGCACTTTTAGAAGGATGTCGTGACCCACCTCGGGTTAAGGAGCCCGATTCACTCGAAGAGTAAAATCCACTCGAAGAAGACTCTGGTTCCTCTGATGTGACTGAGGTCGTAATTCGAGGGGAGGAGGATGGTTGACTAGAAGTTGTGGAGGCGGAGGACGTCGTCGTGTACAAGGCGCCGTCAATCACTCTCGCGTTGCGGTTTTTATTCGGGGCTGTGTGAGTGGGGTGGGAAAGGAGCAATTCTTCATGATCGGCCTCAGACTCAGTGGCAAAGTCGGAATCTGTTTGCGCCTCGTATCCAGAGACGGAAATTACGGAGGAGTCGCAACGATCAGGGTCGGAGGAACCGGGGGGATGGTGATTCATCATGTCGGACGATGAGTTTGTAGTTTGAGGGGGCGAAGGGCTGTCCCGGTTGGGGGAGACTTGTTCATTAGACTGTTGCTGCTGCGTCTGGTGGAAATTGTCGTTGACTACGTCGTCTGTGTTGCTCGTGTTAATTTTTAGCGTTATGTTTGCATCACCATCTTCCTCATCAGCGTTGTGAGTGTCCTCCTCGTCCTCCTCAAAATCGAGATTCTCGAGATTATCAATCGACGGAGATCTCAAATGTTGGTATAACTCTAACTCTTCGTCCTTCAACTCTCCCCAGGATTCAAAAAGTTGGGAAGGTGTTTGCAGACCAAGGCTGGATTCTTCCTGAATTCCAGCCTCTTCTGGACTTGAGAGGCCGGTGAGGGACATCCCATCCCCGTCCCAGAGATCGGGCGTCTTCTGTCCAAAGAGACCTCCAGTATCGGACGAGTTTTCTTCAGAAGGTGGCTCTTCATCTTCGTCTGTAAAAACCAAATCAGAATTTTGTAAAATTCTGGGGGGAATTTTTATATTTCCCAAGTTAGTTAACTACGTATGCTATTCTCACCTCCTCTCTCCAACCTAATGTCCAGACTAGTTGGCCGACTCGCCTTGTTTGACTGGTCCGAGTGGACAATGAACGTTCTTCCCGTTTCCGCCGACCTCTCCGGGGTTACAATGACTTTGCTGGGGCATCCAGGCAGCGTATGTATCATGGAGGGTCGAATCATTCTCTGATGAATGGGGATCAGAGGAGCCACTTTAATCTCGTACGATGCTGACCTTCCCCTTGGCGTCGTCATCCTTAGTTGCGCCTCCTCCAAATTATTGTCACCTCTCCTCGTGCTTGGGGTCGAACAATGGTCGGGCGTCATGGAACCGGCTACTCCGCACCGCTCCATCTCTTCCCTCAGGTTGAGCTCATTGATCTCAATCTCCGCAAAATTGGGAACTTTCACGGCCTGGTCGTACGAAGAAGTGCTGCTACTTCGACCTGTCTTGTAGGCAAGGACGGCGTCGTGATGCTCACTTGCACCACTCCAACTTTTTACGAGATGACTGGGAGAAGGTGAAGACGGACTATCTTCAAGCTTTCTCCTCTTCTTTCGCTCCGTAGCTTGTGAGACGACCTTTTTCGCAATGACTGTCGAAGGACACGAGTCACCTCCAGTACCCTGCTCACTGGCAGGTTTGGGGCGTTTCGAGCCCTTAAGGACTACGTGGTGGTCGTCGGCTTCCTGATTTCTTTTAGTTCCTGCTATACAATTTTTAGACACAATTTTAAATATTATAATTAAATATTAGTTTAATCATATTTTAAACTAATTTGCCAAACTCACCCAAACTCCACCGTTGATTGTCCCCCTCGGCTGTTTCAAGATCTCCGTCCCCTTTCAAACTGACCTTGCCCACGGGGGCAAATATTCCACAATTTTTCCTCGTCTGAAAGTACCGGACCCCGTCAACCATGCCGTCGTGATTTCCTTGAGGTTGCGGCAACTCGATGCCACACCAGAGTCCCGACTTGAACGTGGTTTTCCCAAAAAACTTTAAAATCCCGGACTGCACTCCAGAAATGTAAACCGTGGCTCCGAGATTGTCAGAGGTGACGGCGGTCGTGGGTGCAGCTTCTTGCGTTAAAATTGCCAAGTTTGCCATCGAGGAAGACTCTGCTGGTCCAACGCCACCACTTTTCACCTGTAATCAACAATTTATAAATGTTATGAAATCTTGGGCAAAGTTTCTCACGGTTTCGTGTAAAAAAAATCAATCTACCCTCAACAGGAATCATTGCCTATCTTTTGAGCGTTGCTAATCCAACCAGAAAAGAAGGGGATTACATACTGTGTGTTCCACAGTGTGTAATCCCATCACTCCTTTATTCAGTTATTCTCTCTTCATCCCGTGTCACAATTCGCATGAAAACATAAACGCTTGATCACATCCTTATTCCCATTCTCATGGATGCCTGTTGTTATTGTTGTAGCCACGAGAAGCACCATTTTTCCACTTGGCATGACGATGTACTCCTCTCTTCAAGTAAATTAAGCTTAATCCTTCAACCAACCGAACAACCCCAACTGCCAAATTCACATCCTTGACCTCTGACTAATCGTATAAGCATTGTTCGGCTCCCCTCTTTCTTCCACCACTTAAATTGATATAGATTAATGGCACAATAAATACAAGCAGTCATCAGCCAGATAAGTATTTAAAGACCAACAAGCAAACACGCATTTCATAGGGTGAGGAATTAATTGGACCCTTAACTTGTGCGTGGAAGGAAAGTTATGTCTCTAAAACTGCCAAACTTACAAAATCTCGAACTCCTTCAAGTATTCCAAATAAAATCCCATTATTTGTCTCTTTTCTCGCGTTTCTTGCAAAAAATGCACCCATAAACTGCATCCGAATACAGGCAAGATTCTACCCATGTATTTTTAATCACTAATATCGTGCTCTTTTATATTAAGTAAAACTCTCAATCCTCATTTTTTTCCTCTTTCCGTTGTTCCTGTCTATTCCCTGTCTGTCACCTTCGTTTTATTTCATCCAATACGTATTACATAGAAATGTATCCACAAGCCTGCTCCGGATGGAACCATTATTGTTGTGTTTCTCTAAAATGCGAAAACATTCAGAGGACACAGATGACGAGAGTAAATGCGTGCCAACCAAGTAATGGCACTCACTAAGTCAGTTTTCCGAATCCTGTTGTAAATATATTTACATACAAGAGATGCATTCCAGGCACACACAGCTATTAATAAATCTTAATTCGAAGCCTTTCCCATTCATGAAATCTCGTAAACGACAAGCAAATCTGGTTGAAAAGATTCATTAAATTGTTAAAGCCAATCACAAAAATCATGAAGTGATTCAAATTTTTATATTTTTTATACTCCAAGATAAATGCGAAACATGAATAAAACATGAATTCTACTTTTTACGACTGTTTCTACAAATTCGCTCTGCACATTTCAAATTACGATTGTATTTGCACATACTGCACTCAATCAAATATTTGATTTCCTCAGTCACAATTACCCATTATTAGCACACACACACAGCCAGTCAGTAAAACCCCGGAGGTGAAAAGGTTATAAAAAGAGAACGAAATTGGACTACAATCAAAAAAACTTTCTTCTCTCTCGAAATTGGAATTCATTAGGAAAATAATTAAATACAGACAACAATAAACTAACCTGATTTTCTTCCCCTTTATCAATTTTAAACAAAAAACTCTACTTTTTAACTCTAAGAGAATCATGTGTGCAAGTATTTCCCATATTTCGATCGTACATATTTTCCTCATTTTTTCCATAATAAGTGGGTCTGTGTCTCCTTTGTAATTTTATTCCACTTATTTTATTGCCTTTCCGTTGGCTTGGGTGTGGGTCCCTTTAAACGCCAAAAAGGACGGCATCAGTCACATCAGCGTTATTTGCCGACGATCTTCACAAGTACATAAAGAGAGAGAGAAAAATATGTATGCACACAAAACCGGTGTCAACGTCAACGTCACCTTATTACAGCAATAAGTCTTTCAACCTTTAAAAAATGTGTGGTGAGATCACACACAATGCGCAAAACACACGTGTCGTGTACGTACTAATGCGATGCCATACTCTCTACGTGATTTGACAACTTCCATTTACACTAAAGTTTTAATACTTTGCAGCAATTGTGATGCAAATCCCCTCATAACTTTAATGATCAATTAAATCTCTTTAATCTTTTGGCAAATCAATCCAAATAGTTCGACATCAATTTTTCAATTATCAAAACCAACGTACATACACATTTAATCTTCTCACTCGGATTGACACCTGTTGTAGGAGGAACTCGTTTTTCTCTATGTCCCATTACTCCAGCAGAATTTTAATTGCAACTGTTTTTTTTAATACGTGCTCCTCAATAAATGTGACAAATCTTTCTTCATTGCTCCTTTAACAAATTTATATTTTCTATCCACTTTTGGACACAATAGTTTTGCCCCTTTCTAATAAATGTGCGAATTGCATGCACTCACTTAACCAAACTGACGACCAAGATCATCAATATACTAATATTAAGATGTGCTTGGGTTCCTAATCAGTGGAGAAGGTGCGCGCATCTCACCAAACTAAACAAGCTTTACCTCTTGTAAACAATGAAACTATTATTTGTACTATTAATTGGCGAATGAATGCAAATTATGTGAGATGAAAGTAAAATCAAAGTTAAACAATTAAATGGAGGTTGCGACTATCCATCCATCCATTCATTCATTCAATCAGCATCCATGTCTCGTTTACGTACCTATTTCTTCTTCTTTTTTAATACTAGACACACACAATTATGACCTTAGCGCAAATTATTATGTACTTATTGTCCACTGCAGAATTGAGTATTGATTACGCCACGGAAAGAATTAGATTCTCGTTGACGAGTTGGGACGACGACGACGATGAGGGGATGATTACTTCTAATTTCTAAAGATCCTCGTCGTCTTACATAATAAATGTTGGACGTGTCCCTCGCCATGTAGGGATACGGATGGGCGGATATGTGGCGTGGTGATGAGGTGATAAGCCAAACAATAATAAATCAATATATTATTATAGTCCTGCTAATTAATTCGGAGTATTGAGTATTGATCACCAAGTATGACACGTAAGTAATATAAGTTTTTGGTTTCCAACATTTTTTGCATTACTCTTTCTTCCTCTCCATTTCTTGGTTTGACTACGTCATTAGTTTGTTCCGGAATTAGCTTAAAATAATTTTGGTATGTTTCAACATCAACAGATCGACGTGGATGAGTTGATTTTAGGGAAACGAAACGTGGTAGTGGATTGATTGTTTATTTTTCTAAGAAACTCTCAAGTTTACAAAGTTTACAAATGTTCCCTAATTCCGTCTGTCAATTCAGTCACTCGCTCACTATCCTTTACAACTTTGGACAACGTACGTAGCTTGGAACTGTGGAATGGAATGGGATTGCTTTTTGGTTACTGAAAAGTCATCAGGAGCCGAGTTAAAACATGCTTCCGGAAGAAATATCGTTCTCTTTAAAAATTCATGGCCCGTCACAAAAATCGGGATAAAGAATAAAACAAATTATGCAAAGCAGTAGGAGAGAGAAAGCAATAATGATTCTTCACCTCGTCTTCGGGATTCCGGTCTTGCTTCTTTTTTCTCGTGCACAAACATAACGATAAGCAAGGATCCTCCAGCACGAGGTCCATTATTATCCTTCCGGAGAGCAAAGTATGGTATGTCTAGAAGTTATCGATATACGGCCTGCAGCCCTCATCAACGTGACCGGAGAGTTGAAGAGCAACTACTCAATTAGTTTGGTGTTTTTTACGAATGGCAGAATGCATTTTACGACTCGCTAACAGGATTTCCTCCAGAAATAAATATCGTCATAACTCCACTTATAGAATATTTAACCACGTGTCACTCAAAGTTGTGTCACCTTTGTCTCACTCACACACAGATTCGTCTCAATATTTCATTCTTTTCTACTCGAATTTCTCAAATAATTTATTTGCAAAAACAAAACACCCCCAAATTATTTATTTAGCAAGAAACTCGATTCTCACTATCACCAGACACTCTCGTAACAGGTGAAACTTTAGTAAAATAATTAACGAGTCTCTCTCTCTCTCTCTCTCGTGTTGTTGATGGCTTGCGTTTTGTTGCAGTATTGTTAGTCACGACGGCGACTAGGACGACGACGACGACGACGACGACAACGACAACGACGGCAGATCAATCCAACAATCCTCCTAGGCAGGAGCTACCTCTCACTCAGGAGTATTATTACTTTACTACTGCTCATTCATGTTGTCGTTGTTACCGTGCAAGTAGCGTGTGTGGGACTACGGCGTCTCTCATTAATAAGGCAAAATACGAGGCAGGAGTGAGTAATACTACAGGGGGACCACTACCTGTGCTAACTAACTGCCATGATGATGAGTGGGTGGGGGGAGGTTCAGCTCTATCAAATCCTGTGAAAAAGAGAGAATTGTCACGCTCGCTGAGCACTTCCTTCTCTCGAGTCCAACCCAAACTAAACTAAGCTAAAACTCCTCAGCCATCCTATGCAGCAATCCACTGAACAACATTTGGTTCAGATTCTCAACCAGCCCTTTAAACCCACGAGACGAGAGAAGTGCTAAGAATGAAGAATTGGGAGCTAAACCTCCTTCGCGTCGTTCTTCCTTCCTGTGCCAAACCGAATGATCTCGTCTCTGCTGCTGGCTTGCTTTTTGGGATTTAATCACCGTGGCGTACTTTGCTCTCCTGTGCAGAATTATGTATGTGCTTAAAGTAACTTACATACATATGTATGCATGCACGGACATGTACTTATGTATGGGATCTTGCTAATGCATGTAAGTAATGCAAATTGGTGGCCAAACCATTTTTTTAATGGTTCCTTTTGGCTCGTTTTCCATTAAGGAGTTATCAAAAATAGTGATAATTAAGTTGCACAGAGGAAAGCATTGATAAGGTTGGAGTAGTTTATTACTCACCCCTGGTCTCCTTAATGGCACGCTGTTCGTAATCGTGTTATGTTACAGGAAGTAAAATTAGTATTTAAGTAGTTTGGTTAGCAGAAGAAACGGCAAGTTCGTAAAATAAAATCATGGAAAATCGGCAAGTACAAAAAAGTGCTCGACCTGCAAAAAGCTAGAAACTAATGC